CATGGAAACTCCTTTTCATTCAAGATATAGAGCACATCATCTCTCAATTCATCACAAATGGGAATTTCATCATCACTAGCTTTCACATTCTCTAATCGGGAAAGATGGTCCGCAACCACATTTTCTGCCCCTTTCTTATCCCGGATTTCAACATGAAATTGTTGGAGAGACAAGAACCATCGAAGAAGTTGAGGTTTGGACTCTTTCTTTTCCACAAGGTACCTAATAGCCGCATGATCGGTATAAACAATAGTTTTGGAACCAATTAGGTAGTTCCAAAACTTCTCAAAAGCATGCACCACGGCAAGAAACTCCTTTTCCGTTGTGGTGTAGTTCCGTTGAGCTTCATTCAAGGTCTTGGACATGTAGTAAATGACGTGAAGTTTCTTCTCAATTCTTTGTCCCAACACCCCTCCAATTGCAACATCACTAGCATCGCACATAAGTTCAAACGGCAAATCCCATCTTGGCCCTTGCATAATTGGAGTAGAGATCAAAGCCTCCTTTAATTTGTTGAAAGCTTGAAGACACTTTTCATCAAAAATAAAGATGGCATCCTTTTGAAGAAGAGCATTTAGGGGTCTAGCAATTTGTGAGAAATCCTTGATAAATCTCCTATAGAACCCGACATGCCCTAAAAAGGATCTTACTCCTCTCACATTAATTGGAGGTGGCAATTTTTCAATCACTTCAACTTTGGCCTTGTCGACCTCAATCCCCTTGCTTGATATCTTGTGACCAAGGACGATTCCCTCTTCAACCATGAAGTGACATTTCTCCCAATTTAGGACCAAGTTGACCTTCTCACATCTTGCTAAGCATTTTCCCAAATTGGACAAACAATCTTCAAATGAAAGGCCCCCAACCGAGAAATAATCCATGAACACTTCCATTTCGGCTTCAAGCATGTCTCCAAAAATACTCATCATGCACCTTTGAAAGGTTGCCGGTGCATTGCAAAGTCCAAACGGCATTCTCCTATATGCAAAAGTACCATATGGACAAGTAAAAGTTGTCTTCTCTTGATCATCCGGGTTTATGGGGATTTGAAAGAAACCCGAATAACCATCAAGAAAGCAATAATACTTGTGCTTTGTTAGTCTTTCAAGCATTTGGTCGATAAAAGGAAGAGGAAAGTGATCCTTGTTAGTGGATGCATTTAGACGTCTATAGCCTATGCACATCCTCCAACCGGTCACCGTTCTAGTTGAAATGAGATCACCATTCTCATTTTCAACTACGGTCATTCCTCCCTTTTTAGGGACCACATGAATGGGGGAAACCCATCTAGAACTCGAAATGGGGAAGATGATGCCGACATCAAGGAGTTTGGTGATTTCTTTCTTCACCACCTCCCCCATTTGAGGATTGAGTTTCCTTTGCCTCTCAATGGAAGGCTTAGCACCCTCCTCAAGTGTTATGTGGTGCATACATAAAACGGGACTAATACCTTTGAGGTTATCAATGGTATAACCCAAAGCACCTTGGTGGTTTCTTAAAATACCACATAACATTTGAATTTGGCACTCGTTCAAAGAAGAATTCACTATTACCGAAAAAGTTGAATTAGGACCCAAAAACTCATACCTTAGGTGTGATGGTAGAGGTTTTAACTCTACCATTGGAACACCCTTAACTTCTCTTGAGGTAGCTATTTCCAAAGCATCATTGCTTGTGATTCCCATGCATACTTGCTCAATGCTTTCTTCTGTACTTCCTTCAAGGATTTCTTCATACAATGTCATCTCCTTGCCTTGCTCACCTATCTTTTCCTTATTCAAAAGGACATTCTCAAGGGCATCATTAGTAGTGAGCAAGTGCTCATGCATAGAAGTCACAATAGAATCAATAGTATCAATCATCATACAATTATCAAGACTAGAGCTTGGATATTTCATGCTCTCATTCAAATCAAATTCTATCACCTCATCTCCTACTTTTAGTGAAATTTTAGCACTTTTAACATCTATTAAAGCACCCGAAGTAGCAAGAAAAAGGTCTTCCTAGAATTATTGGAATGTTAACATCTTCATCCATCTCTAACACAACAAAATCCACCGGGATTACAAACTTCCCCACCCTTAGAGGAACATCCTCTACCTTACCCTTTGGGAATTTAATAGAGCGATCGGCCAATTGTAGGGTGATGTTGGTGGGTAGAAGTTCCCCTATCCCAAGTCTTTGGTATACCGAGTATGGCATTAGGCTAACACTAGCCCCTAGGTCACACAAAGCATTATCAATTTGCATCTTGTATATTGCACATGGGATAGAAAAGTTACCGGGGTCTTTCAATTTGGGTGGCATCTTGTTCATGATAATTGCACTACAATTCTCGGTGAGACTCACCGTTTTAACCAACTCACACTTTCTCCTTCCACTCAAAATATCTTTCAAAAACCTAACATAGTTAGGCATTTGCTTGATAGCATCGGTAAGAGGAATTGAAAGGTGAATTTGTTTCAATGTTTCAAAAAATTTTCCAAATTGCACATCTAATTTGTTTCTAACAAATTTGTGAGGATATGGTAGCTTTTGCAATTGTTTTGTTTCTCTCTTTTTTTCTCTTCTCTCTTCACTCTCTTTTTCAAAATCTTTCTCTTTCTCAAATTCTTTTTCTTTCTCACATTCTTTCTCTTTTTCATTCTCATGGTTTTGCTCTCTCTCTTGTTCAAAATCACTTTTAAGGGGAGGCTCACTCATGTTCATTCTCTCATTGCTTTTTTTAGGAACACTTTCTTCCAACACTTTACCACTCCTTGTTGATATAACATTAACGGGCCTCTTAGGATCTAGTCCTTGGGGTGGTAGTTTAGAAGTGCTAGTCCCTTCCTTCAAAGCATTGGCCAATTGAGAAATTTGTGTCTCAAGCATTTTATTATGGGTCATCACTTCACTAAATTTCTTTTCACTAGAGGCCATGAAAGTATTGAACATTTTAGTTTGATTTTCCATCATTTCCTCCAAGCTAGACCTACTATGTGGTGCTTGTGCATAGTAGTTATCTTGGGAAGCCCTATTACCTCTAACATTCGAATTGGACGCATTTTGATTAGAAGAACCTCTATTATTATTGTTGTTCCAATTGTTCCGATTATTAGAGTTTCCCCCTTGGTGAAATTGCCCTTGATTCCCATAGTTTCCTTGATTATTATGATTATGGTTACCATAACCACTTTGTTGGTTGTAGTTACCTTAGGGATTTTGGTCCCTTTGGTTCCTATTTCCCCATTGATTTTGGTTATGGTAATCGTAATCATTTCCTCTTTGGTTATAGGAATTCCCCCCTTGTTCTCTTCGATTTGGTGGTAAGTATCTTTGATTGTCATTCCTATGTCTATTATCATAAGACAAGGCATTGACTTGTTCATTTTCATTTTCATTACCATATTCGTATTGGGGTTGGGGTTGGGAATCATAATTACAAGAAGAGGTATCATGGTCATATGACCCACAATTTTCACAAAACAAACATCCATGAGGTACGTTATTAGAAGTAGAGGGAGAAGAGTTAGAATTCATACCTCTCCCCTTAGATTGGGAGGGATGCTCTTGTGTTGAACTAGAGGTCTCTAATTTTGCCTTAATGGACGTCATCTCCTTTCCAAGGTTGGCGATTTGGGAAGTCAAATTGTTGATGGCATTAAGGTGATAAACGGAGTAAACCACATTTCCTCCCTTGTTTAGAGACTCTCTCTCTCTCCTTCTTGCCAATCCATGCGGTGTCTCACCACATCCTCAATTATCTCTATGACTTGCTCCTCCGTCTTGTTCATAATTGGGCCACTCGCTCCCGCATCCAAGCTAGTCTTTCCTTGTGGGCTCAAGCCCCCATAGAAAATTTGAAGCACTTGATATGACGGAATTCCATGATGAGGGCACTCCCTTTGATATTCCTTGTATCGTTCCCATGCTTCATATATGGCTACAAGTATAAGATCCGCAACACTAAACATTCCACACTTTCGCTTCATTCGATTATTAAGCAAAATTAAAGAATAAGGTTTGGAATTTTAAATTCAAGCGCCACGTAAAATAAATAAACCTACGACAGATAACTTTAGTGTTAAAATTTTCTTTAAAAAATTATCTTATGATATTAGGAATTTTATTCAAATATCCGATGAATGATCTTCATATAAAAAAAATCTTAAATTAATTAAAAAAATTTACTAGAACCGTACATCGCACGGGTTTATATCTAGTAATCTATAATTGTAAATACATACAAGGTTATGGAAATAATTAAAAACCAACTTGTTAGTGCAATTAAAAAATACTCGTAGTAATTTGACGCATAAAGTTTTTGAATGTTAAACAAAGAAAAACTTAAAAATACAACATCAATCTAATTTGGATTGGTATGGTGTCATACAAAGTATAAAACTTTTAAATTCTAATATGTAAATGCAATTCCGTTCCTCACAAAAATAATGGTTGGTATCATAATCAATTTAACATTGACAACAAGAAACAATAATTATAATTCAACAAAATTAAGGATTAGACATGATAATTTAATATCACATTGAGAAACATTGCAACTCTTAAATTACACAACCATCATATGCACATCCAAAATTAAGGTTTTAAGAACGATGATACCTACCTCAATATCTTAATATCATATTCCTTTAACTTTTGCATGCTTAGTTGGCTAAGATGAGAGATTGAAAGAGAATAAATCTGTGTATATTATTCCATATGATAAGGTGTATATATCCACAAATATTTCATATTCCTCTGTTCTTTTTTACTTGACCTGTTTCTTTTATCACGCTTGCCATTGTAAAACTTTAACGATCAATAATTTAAATTCTCCATAAGTAAAAATTATAAAAGTTATATATTATGATAGTACTTATTGAGACGAATCCAAAAAGATCATACATGAATATATTTTTTCTTACGTTTTTTTCACAAAAAACGGTCAAAGGAGAGGTGGTGAATAGTGTAAAAGTCAAAATGGGTCAAGTAATAAAAAACGGAGAAAGTAACAGATTTAGAAATTTTCCAGTATAATTTCCCAAAAATAATTCGTACCGGTTAAAACAAATAGCATTTCATAGCATTCGCACATTGGATTGCATATTGCAGTCGAGCTTCAAACAAGCCACACCAACGCCTGTGCTGTGGCCTGTGGCGGTTCAAAATTCCATCTTCCTCCTCTCTCTCCAACCTTTCAAAATTAGGGTTTCTACTCTTCCCTCTTTTCAATTCAATTTCATCTAACCCTATTTTCCGCAGAAAAACATAAATCAATCTCTAGAATCAAGAGCTTGAAGAATTAACCTCCGACAACAATGGCGGAACACTTGGCATCCATTTTCGGTACAGAGAAAGACCGTGTGAACTGCCCTTTCTACTTCAAGATCGGCGCATGCCGCCATGGAGATCGCTGCTCTCGACTCCATAATCGCCCCACTATCTCTCCTACTCTCCTTCTCTCCAACATGTACCAGCGCCCCGACATGATTACTCCAGGCGTCGACGCTCAAGGTCAGCCAATTTCTGCCGAAACTCTGCAATCTCATTTTGAGGATTTTTTTGAGGATATATTTGAGGAATTGAGCAAATTCGGCGAAATTGAAACCCTAAATGTGTGTGATAATCTTGCTGATCATATGATTGGGAATGTTTATGTGCAATTTCGTGAGGAGGATCAAGCGGCGGCTGCGTTGGGAGCTCTTCAGGGGAGGTTTTACTCAGGGAGGCCGATTATTGCTGATTTTTCGCCGGTGACGGATTTTCGTGAGGCGACTTGCCGGCAATTTGAGGAGGAGAGCTGTAATAGAGGTGGTTATTGTAATTTTATGCATGTTAAGATGATTGGGAGGGAGCTGAGGAGGAAGTTGTTTGGGAAGTTTCATAATTCTAGGCGTCGAAGGAGCCGGAGCAGGAGTAGGAGCCCGAGGCCGGTTAGGAGGGAGAAGGAAAGGGAAAGGGAGAGAGACAGGGAGAGGGATTTTGAGCCCCGGGTTCGCGATAGGAGGAGTGAGGATGGAGGAGGGAGAGGGGGGAGGAGGAGGAGTAGGAGCCCTCCGCCGGCAAGAGAAGGTAGTGAGGAGAGGAGAGCTAGGATTGAGCAATGGAATCGGGAGCGCGAGGGGAAGATTTGATTTTTTTGGTTAATTTTGCTCTTTTGCTTGATTGATTATGAATTTATGATTGAAGTTAAATTTGGAAGAATTTAGTGTAGTTATGCTGATGCTTATTCTAGGGATTATGTTCAGGCTTTGAAGTTTGATCATGTTTATTTTTCTGTGATTTTTAAATTTGTGGGTTATTGTTTTACAAAATTGAGTAAAATAATTTTGTTCTTTGTTAAATTTATGTTTAATGCAGTAACATTTCTAATTTCTAATATACTTGCTTATCAATCTTCTTATGTTTGTGGTGTTGCAATTATAATTTTTTTTATTTTTTATTTTTGGATACTATTGTTATGGCATGCATAAGTATTTAATAAATAGATTTACACCAGTAATAGACATGAATGAACATGAATAATTAAAAGCTTGCTTATGTCAACATGAATGAACATCTTAGAATAAGGATAGGGTGTAGCTGTAGTCTTAGATGAGCTAGATATCTCATCATACACAGACGGGTACTCGTCTAAATTTCAGAATTCGCTTATTTAAGAAAAATGTTCATGCATTTGATCCAAAATAAAAATTCAAGTGTCCATATCATGTGAGAACGTAAAGATAGGGAAATTCTCAATGCTGCCACCTGTTTTTGCTACCCTGATTTGGTTATTTTTTTTTTGGTAAAAAAAAGCATAAAATAGGAACTTTGGGTGAAATGAAGAGTCCAAGTAACATAGGGGGCTAGTGAGGAAAGGATGGAACTATTTTGCGGAATTTTGAAGGCCACAGTTCTTTTGTTTATTTTTCAGAATGTTCTTTAGGTTTTATATACCTATAGTTTATTTATATATTTATTTGACAAAATGTATACCTATAATATTGAGATTTGAATTTAGCTTTATGTCTTGATGCATGCACTGATGTTCAATTGTTTATACTGATTGCTTTTGAATTTTTGATGTGGTGTGTTATCTGGGGTTACCTTATTCCTGTTTGGTATATGTTTCCTTCTTTGTTTGCAAATTTATTTAGCTCTTAAGGTAATCCGATACATATAAACTTGACTAGTTAGAGTCTATCATTTTGGTGATGTAACAGTAAGTGAAGCAGGAGGATTCTGAAGGATGTGTAAGGTAGGCTCTCTTGCAATATGATTAGTTTCTTTCTAGCTGCCAAGATAACTTTAAATCAGCAGGTACATGTGCATTTGTCACTGCATTATTTGCATGAGCTGGTTTTTCTGAGGTAACCTTATATACTATAAAATGAACTAATAATGCAACATAATGTGGTGTGGTAACTGATTGATTAGAAAGAAAATTATCTAATTTGAATTATGGTAATTTTCTGTCTCTCATTTTACTTGTTGTGCTATTAATTATTGAAATAGTAGCTTTGTACAATGAAGCTGGATGTTGTGATTTAACCATTGATATAAGTCATTGCACATGTGAGTCGTTATTGCAATTTTCTAGGCTTTGTATTAAAGCAATATAATTCTCTGTCATTTTAAATATTCTTAGCAGGGTGGGTTTTGTCTTTCAGTGTTTGATAATGTCCAATCGGTATGAGGTTGTTTTGCTTCTGTCATCTGTCAACTAAACCATTTTCACTTGGGTTTTTTTTTTGCATGTACCACAAGTTTTCCTTCTTGTTGATGTTACAGATTTTTTTCTTCTTGTTGAATTATTTTCCACTTAGGATTCTTGGCATGGAATGCAATAGCTCTTCTTTTCGTTGCTTTAATTGTGCATTTAATTTTGAGAGGATAGTGGGTTTTTAGTTTTGCTGAATTTTTTCCTTCGTGCTGAACTATTATTTACTTGGGCTTCTTGGCATGGAACCACAATATTTTCTTCTTTTCGATGCATTAATGTAGCAATTAATTTTGAGAGGATAATGGATTTTAATTTTACTGAAGCTTACACATTTAAGAAGCAGAGAGGCAGTATTGGTGTAATGGTGTTAAAGCAAGGCTTAAATGATGTCAATCTGCATCATTGATTGGGTAATTATCTTCTTTGTCTTACCTATATCTCATCCTTTTATGTGATTTACATTAATATTCTTGGGTATCTATCCTTTTCATGTAAGTTTCATTAATACCGCTCAACTTTTGGCGAGTAATTGAACCTATGAAGCAAATGATGAATAATGACAGCATATAAGGAAGGATTAGATTGAATACTAAATTATAAAGGCTGGATTGTAGTGAGAAACAACATGAAATCCCATACGATGTAATGTTTTGAAAGTAGAGTAATGTTTGAATTGAAGTTGATTCTTGGGGAGGATACAAGATTTTGCATCAGAAGCAAAAATGACTTGAGTTTAAAGGCCGTAGTGGCCGTAGACCTTTGTCCCACAATGATGAAGCTTCAATGTTTCCTTCTGAAGTTCTGATAGTATTTATGCTATCGAATTACATGTTATGGTCATTATGAATTGGAGATACCAATTTGTGGATGAGAACTTGGTCTTCCATAGTTGTGTTTACTTTGTATTTTTTTTGTTTTTCCTTGACATTCATACTATTTGGAACTTAAACAACACTTGTGAAGAATAAGCAGCCTAGAAATGTATATTATGTTCTAAATTAAGTATGTTATAAAGTGGTTGTGCAAACATCTATCCATTATCTTGGTTAGGATAGGGTGTTTCTAGGGGTAGCTCGTAATGTAGAAACTTCTTTTATACCTGATATGTTACAACCCCCATATGTACCTACAAGTTTTGTATCATCATCCTTTTCTTCCTAGACCTATGTTTTCTAATTCCTACTCCTGGGTAACCTGCGCACATTCTAGTGCCAATCCTAGTGATGTTATTTTATTTGTATACTATTTTTCCTGGTAATATGCTAACTAGAGCATATCTGGCTGATCTGCTCATGGGTATGCCAAATCACGTGTTTGGCAAGGAACTTAAGCAGTGTCATGTTTGGTTTTCAGCAGGCACAAGCTAGTGTCTATATTGGAAAATTTTGACTTCATATGATGTTGGATACTTTACTGGCATTTAAGGGGTCAGCTTAGATTTCGCAGGGTGGCATCTGACAAGTTCAGTATTGTGGGCTTGTGGCTATGTTTTGGCTTGTTGCCTTTTACCATCCATTGCTAGAAGCTGTAGTAAAAAGTGAATTGATGTCTATTTGTTGTTTTTTTATTCTTTTTTTTGGGTGTGTTGTGTAAATGAATGATGATGGTTTAGCTCTTTCACAGTTTCTCTTGGTCTGCATACTTCTCTGTGTTGTTGCTCCAATTCTGGCTATTGCTGTTTAATTCATGTTGTTTATTTAATTAATACTCACTCTGCTTTTGAGGTTTAGGTCTCTTTATGATACTTAACCTATGTTCTCTGACAAAGGGAAAAGTCCTATCTGCATCTATTCAAATTAGACCTGGAACAGTTTTTATCTATTGCTATATGTTATTATGTGATTTGTGTCATCTCATCCTACCCAAAGCTTAAGCTCATAGCTTTTCCCTACTTCATGAATTCCATTTATTTGATATGGAATAAGGTCTACCCGTTTCAGTTGTTTCTATTACCACAACTCATCTTCAAACCTTTTTGTTGAGTTGTAGAACTCCTTAAGAAGTATGCACATTCCCATTTATCCCATCCTTTGATATTTGGAGCCTTTGATTCTAAATACAATGAAAGACACCTCAAAGAGATTGGAATTTGTTCAAATTCATCTATCTACAATTCACAATATAAACAGTTGGATACCCCTGAACGCTAGCTCATTAATTTTAGAAGCTGAGGACATTTCTTTATGCTGCTCTTCTGGTTGTTTTATATTTAAGGTCTGAGCCTCCAAATGTTATATATGCTAGAAGCACATTGTTTATTGTCTCTACCAGGTTGTTAAAGTTGCTTCTCTAAAAACAGAGCAACTTTTTCTAGGAAAGTACTGGGCTAGTGGAGGACTGGAGGTGTGCATAGGATTGCTCAACTTAGATATCTTTCATCTGATCAGTAAAATGACGTTCAAACCTAAAATTTCTTTGACTATGCTTCTGCCAACAGCAATGCATAAACCTTTGTGTTTCAAATTTGATGCCCTTTTCTTTTCAAATGCTGGCTGCATTTTGCACACCCATTTCCTACTGCTGAATAGCTTCTGAACACTTGAAAAGTCCTGGTAACTTTCTGCAAAAACTCTTCTTTATGGTGATAGGAAAACACAGACGTGGCAAAGTTTCAGATTCTAGCCCATACGAACTACAGGTAGGATGGACTTGAATTTGCTAATTTAAGAGCTGAGTTTATCTTAAGTTGCTAACTGACCTTGTAAAGATAGCCAATCTATGAAGTGAGATATAGGGCTCGCTATACATCTTTCTGATGAATGATACTTCCCATTTTCAGTTATTGCTTACCATATTAGGAGTATGGACCTTAAAAGACATACTTTTTCATGGATATGCAAGCTATGGAATCTTCAAACTTTTACTTAAACTAGGGATATGCAGCTAATCTGGGCATCTTTTTTATGAAAAGTTTTTATCTGAACTGCACACTTTTTACCAGGGAATATTTACACTCACTTATCAACATTACACAGAGGCAATCAGCCCCCCCCCCCCCCTCCTCTGATAATCAGCTATTTCATCGTTAATTGGATGTCAATATTTTGGAAGCTTCCTTAGGTTAAGGATGGCCAGATTTAGGAGCATTTGCCTTGAAACTAAAATGATTGAAAGCCAAAGTGTTCCTCTTCTGGGGGAGTGTGCTTATGCAAGCTTATCAGAGAGATATGGGATCCTGCTAACTGCTTGTAACTGAGGTAGGTATTTTATTTAATATCTTTGGCAATCAGAAATTGCAGTGGTCAGGACTTGTTACTCACACACCCACACACACACGAATACAAGCCAGAGGCTATTACAGGTTTTTTTTTTCTTTTTTTGTTTTATAATTTATTTATTTTTATTTTTTTTTTTAAATTTTAATTTTTTAACATTCAGGCAGTCACCATTTCTCGTACTTGTATTTCTTGATTGAGGTCTTTGATAACTTGGAATTATATGATTTCTTTTCTGGCATCTATTTTCTTCCCAAAAAACTTACTGGATAGCTGAGAAGCAGTTGACTTATGCAGTGGAGTTCTCTATTTGGCAATGCATCAGCAAGTGAAGCTAACCAGTGATGTTTGACAGATTTGTCAAAAGCATATTTCCTCCTGATGCAATGTAAATATGTAATATAGCATCTGCTCCTGATTTTTTGGTCAGCTTCTTTACCTGCCTGATGCAACTTGTAATTGGTGAAGTCATGTAAGATGACTGTAACATGTTATTCTCCGATTCTCTCTCTCCTTTTAATTATAGGTAAAATCATTATATTGATGTGTAAAAGTAGGGATTTGCCCCCATTATATACAATACAAGCTTTTCACATTTTTTTTTTCTAAATTTGAAAAGAGCAAAAAAGTGAGATGTACAATTTGATGAATAGTTTAAGGAAATGTGGAGAAAGCTGAATCTAGTATTCCATAATTATCAAATCGGATTCTTAATGTGGCCTATAGGGAGCCACGATTCCTCTTCTTCCTCTATAATCTGGTAAAATTAACAGATACTTGATACAAAAATACTGCCTGCTGTATTGCAGGCTTGTTTTGCACCATCTTGACTCCACCTACCACCACCATTGGCATGGTTGAACCACCGCTCATTGCCACTCTATCCGTCATCTACTTCTGTTGATTCAAAGAATGCTCCATCTCCCTGTTTTTCTGTCTGATCAACTTATCAGCTACAATAATTACCCTGGGTATTGATTTCTGTAGCCACTGTAGCTTTGATGTAAAGGTTCTGGAGGTTTGGTTTTCATTTGCATCGCGACAGTTTGGCTGGTGATGGTGAAGTTGATTTCCTTTTGATTTTCTTTTAGCACATTGTACTCTATTATCTCCTCATGCTTTCGTGTGGAGGTGGTGTTGTAATTGCTGCTTGATTTTGTCTATCAATATTGGCTTGCCATCCTAAACACATGCAGCAAAGGGCACTAAGAATCCATGAATAAACTCCATATAAAGCAGATTGCATAATTAAGGGTGATATTGATGATTATTACCTAAACCCAAGTCGAATCCTCGCAAATGAAGCTCGCGGTATTCCTGGGAAAGAGCACAGATCTCACAGAATGAATGAATACAACAATCCCCTAAAGTGCTGCCCTTCAAATTGAACTGAAGCCTCATCCTTCGACGATAGATAGCGGAATAGAAGCATGCACATCTCAAAACTATAGCCAGCACTGCGTATACTGTTCCATTGACAGCACAAGCTGTATGCATACAGGAAAAAAAAAATGGAAAATTAAGAATTTTCTTGAAGTTCATAATTTACATGACTAATAATAGGACTTTTCTCCTTTTTCTGGAAGATATCTTACATGATGTTCCTTTATCAACAATGTCTGTAATTTGCCCAAATGTGATGCATGGACAACAGAATGTGACACAACCTGCCAAAATATATAGAATTAACTCCAATTTCTGTATAAAGTTGAAGAAAATTAGTGCTTTATAATGTTACGTTGTAATATATTCACCTTATGAATACTTACCTGGCTTAGATAATTTACGATATATTATTTATTCCAGGAGAAAACTGGTATATTGTGAATAAACTACAAGGGCACATTATGATTCATGTTGAAATTTAGCTTTTTAGGTTTCCTCCAAAAAAAAAAAAAAAAAAAAAGAGGCTTTTTAGGAGTATATGATGAAGAATTGGTAATCGTTATTGAGTTTGATTGTGGTCATTTCGACGAAAAATTTGTTATACTACCTCCGTTTCTAATTATGTGCAACAAAGGGATATTATTTGTGAGACATAAAATATTCCTTTGTTGCACATAATAAGAAACGGAGGTAGTATATAAATTCATGACATGTTTTGATTCAAAGTTAATTGAGACATTTATTTCGGAACACAAGCACATTATTAATCGTTGTGAAGAGTAGGTAAGTTTATGTTGTAGAACTTACAATTTGTGATGTCCGAGTGGCATGCACAAAGTCCGGTAGACCATTCAACCGTTGTCGTAGCGTTTATGGGAGTTTGGGTTGGGGGTGGTGGGTAGCTCAAAGGAACATTCCCAGGAGATGGAGTTGATTGTGCTGATGATGAGGATCTCTGCCGCATTTGTTTACCCGAACGTGGAGATTCTTGTGGTGTTTGTGTACTTGAATGAGGAGATCCTTGTGGAATGTTCGTTGAAAATGACAATTGTGCATGTGAAATTCGCGAGGGAGACAATGATGGTGATGTTCTGTGTGAAATTTTCGAGGGAGACAATGGTGGTGATGCTTGTGACGTTTGTATGGGTCTCGGCGTCATTGGTACTTAAGGTGGTGAGCCTGGAGGCTGCATTGTGTTACTTGCATCACGTGAAATTTCCGAGGGAGACGATGGTGGTGATGCTTGTGACGTTTGTATGGGTCTCGGCGTCATTGGCTCTTGTGGTGGCGAGTCTGAAGGCTGCATTTTGTTGGACTAAGGTATTGATGCAGCTACAATACAAATTGAAATCGGAAAGTTCGATATGATTATACACCAAAAATTACAAGGCAAATTAATCCAAGTACAATTTTTAGCAACAAGAAACAAGGGCTGTCAATAAAGTTTCAAAGGCCGTCATTTACACACTGAGTGGTTTAAATTTTATGCATTTTCCACAATCCAAGTATTTAGGTGTTTATTTTTATTTTTTTTTTAAAACCAAGTATTTAGGTGTTTTAGTAGCCATTTATTATCGGATAATAGGGAGCTAAATGTTCACTAATTACAACAAATATCTGAAAAATTACGCTAAAAGGGCTTCCTTAGGTCTACTTTTAATCATTACTCCTAAACATACTGATTTTCTAGTCGTTAATTAGTCTACCTGATTTCTTGTATGCTAAGAGGAGTCGAGTTATATTTTTAGCCATGCAAATCATTTTCGTGTTAAATAAAAGATTCGATATGTTCTAATACACATTTCAAACACCTTAAACAACAAGTGTATAAAATTTAAGGCACCCGATCAATAAAATAAAAGATATGAAATTTTAATATAAAACATTCGATTACTAGACAAGTACACATCCATAACTTTATAATTAGATGTGCACAAGTAATGTCATGACCATACCAATTAACTTTCAAGTCATGACCATTTGTATGAACCAAGCATTTATCTTGTATTTTTGAGTACCTATAGGTCTCTTTTTGACATAAGCTAAAAAAAAAAAAAAAGTGTTCATAATATCTATTCCAAAAGAAACGCAAATTATGCCTACAAATATTAACAACACTTTAACAAATTTGCCAGAATCTTGATGTCTTAGATTGCCCACTTGTAATGAATCTCTCCTATATCAGGCTCCTTTGACAATATTAACCAAACAAGTCTATACAGTAGCAAGAAGTGGAAGGTCGAGAAAGCAAGGCAACTGAAGTCTGTAAACAGGCCAACAATTAGTATAGTATCAAGAGAGGAAAAGAAGAGAGAGTGGGCAACACATTTATCAAATGATCAAATTGAACTACTAAACCTATCACTAATATGCAACAATAAGCATCCCTCAGTCTTGAATTAGTTGTCCTGTTGATAATGTGGTTAGCTATTATTGTGACAGCTAAATTTGGACGGGGGGTAGTAAGAACGTACAATACACAAATGGATAGATACTAAACAGACCGAGCCAAGTTACCTGAATTCAATTAGCCACCATTTTCATGTCATGGAGTTATCAGAACATATCCTGTACACTGAACGTCTTACAGCAAACAAAGGCCAGCTTCATGAAGCTCCCTATTGACTCTGCATAGCTGCATAGTCATTCAAGTAGGACATTGCAACAGCAGCATGAAGTGCAGCTCCAATTGGGAGAGCATCCTCATCTACAAAAAAATGTGCCGAGTGTAATGGCTTGTCTGAATTCAATGTTTTGTTCGCTATCCCAATGTTGAAAAATGCAGCTGGAATTTTCTGTGTATAGAAGCCAAAATCTTCTGATGCCATGAGAAATGGAGAAACAAGCACATTTGATTCCCCGAGCAACATTGTTCCTATGCCCTTCACATGGTCATACATCATTTTGTCATTGACGGTTGGAGGATAATGCCTTGCTGTTTCTTCCATAAAATCAACAGTAGCAGTGCACCGATGCACAGCTGCTTGCAGCACTATGACCTGTAAACAGAGAAACTTTCATTAGCATATTGTCAACTTATCATCCCAGTCAAGCAAATCACATATCTGATGGAGTCTATACGTCAACTTAATATTAGCACCATGGAGGATACAAGAATAAGGACCATAAGTGAGAAAGTGTAACCAAAAAAAAAAAAAAAAAAAAAAAAAAAAAAAAAACACGATTGTCATGCAAACGGTTCAACTTAAAAGTACGAACTACAGGAAAGTCTTAATCTCAACTACTTTAGCCAATCTTGAAGTCATAGATGTTCATCACATGATGAGATTCAAATATCATACAAAAGCCCTTTTAATTAGTAGCATATGCAGAAGAAACATACATAGGCCCATCTGTTGAACAAAATTTCATTTCTCTATGTGTATTTTGGTACACATTATTGCTACATACAACAATTAGTAAATTGACCCTAATGAAACAAGGAAACAATTCTGAAGTAACAATTATCCTAAGGTGAACCTTTTCATAATGTATGGTGCATATCTTGAATACGTGTTAAACACTTGAGAGGAAATTTGTCTTTCAAAATTGAGCAGAGAGGCACTCAGTCCATTGAAATTTGCATAATAATAAGTGATAAAAGGGCTTTAAGGCATGACATACAGAAAAAAGGAGATCTAATTTGAAATCAGAAACCACATTCTCAGTAATCAGAAAATCAATATTTTTTTTAAAGTTGGTGGAAAGATTTGTGTTCAAGTATAGTTTGACTTACCTCTCTAATCCTTCTTTAAAGATTGGACAACCCCTCTGCAGTTGTATTTCTAAAACTCCCCCCAAACTTAACAGTCTCGGGGATCTCTCTCTGTTGGCTGCCTTCGACCATGGTCACTGTTACCACCTATGGCAGTTTAAAGGTCACACATGAATACATGATTAATGGGCCCTTATTTTGGTAATTATCAGTGTTAGAAAAGTAGACAAGTAGGACACAATTGAGCACAATTGTAACACTAAAATTAGATGCTCAAAAAACTCAATGACTCATATCTTAAGTAGGACAAATTATACGGAGTAGATCACGAGTATGTGTCAATTAGATGTGTTAAGCACACTAGGAAGGAGGAACCTACTCTGCCATCAAGAGGGTCCGTCTCTCGAGAAATAAGATGTTGCAGCGACAATATTGTGGTGGATGCTGCCAAAATTGGATCTCTTGTTTCACCTTTTCCTTGAATTATTGCAACAAATCTGCCTGCACCAGCAAGCACAGGGCCAGGTCTAGATCCAATTGTTCCTATAGGAGCATAAGGCGAAACATGTAGTCCAAAAATCACTTGCACATTGTCAATAGCACCCTCTTGTATCATAGAATATGCACCAGCACGACCTTCTTCTGCTGGTTGGAAAATCAGCTTAATTGTTCCCTACAAATTAATACAGTTTATACATCAACATTTTATTTCAAATTTTTTTGGTCAGCATCAACAATTGATCACGGCAAATTATAAGGATACAAACTTTTTATATTTTCATGCTTGAGATAAAAACACCTTTAAGGCTTTCCTCTTCTGTTGCAGCAACTTCGCAGCTCCCAAAAGCATCGTGACATGCACATCATGCCCACAAGCATGCATTTTACCATTGATCTTGCTCTTGTTTTCCCATTCTACCATTTCCTAACACATGAAAAGGCAAAGATATCAGAACATCTGATTCCATATTACAACCCTTATGCGCAAAAGGCCATTAGACAAAATCCATGAAAAGTTGATTAATTTAAACGATCTCTAAAATGCCCTTTAATATTATAATCAGTAATAAAAGAACTGTAACAAAAGGGATTTTAAGTAGAGACATTTTTCTACTGAGGGCCTATCCAAAGCCTAGAAAAGACAGCAAGAGAGAAGAGACCAGTAGTTTTACTCCCTTAACCATAGCTTGTCTACAACACTGAATATTCAATAACCAAACCAGAACTCCATTGCAAACATACCCTGTAAGCTACTGTACCAATTTATATGGACTAAACAGTTAACAATTCGACACAGCATTGCCGTGTTGGATCCATAAAAGTAGCTTACAAGCCTACAACACTGCACCAATCTCTCCATAAACCCAACCCTTCACCTTCGGTAACCACTTACTATATCTACAAGCACTACAACACTGCACCACTCTCTTCCTAAATCAACCCTTCATCCATGAATTCGACGAGCAGTCTAGGTATTACCAATGTAACACCTTTAAATTCGATCCTTAACTAGGAAAATTTGCTTCAAAAGCCAACCAGGGTCCTTAGTGAAACATCCACCAGTCACTGCCTTCAAACAAACATGATATATCCAGTTCAACCAAATAACTATCCATTCTGGCAGCAATATTCCATGTTCTTAAGCAATGGTAGCCAAAGGAGATACAGTGTCAGCAGTAATAAACTAATTTAGAAACAAAATTCAAAAGACAGGCTTTATTTTTATGCTTTAAAGATATATTAGAGGAAAAAAATCACATTTGTCTTTATATATTACTCCGTACTTGTATAATAAACTCCATCATCCACTAACTTTTATTTTACTCACTTTCCTAAAAAATTTTGCCCAAAAATGTGAGAATTAATTCAAGACATGATGACAATATGATTTATTTTTCACTTTCTAAATTAATCAAACAAGAAATAATTTTTATAAAAAAACTTAAGAGAAATATGCCAAAACCAAAAAAAGAACCTGAATGGCAAGGGCATCCATGTCAGCCCTGAGAGCAAACCAAGGTTGTGACCCGGACCCGATTGACCCGACAACACCAGTCTTAGCAACTGGCCACGTGTACTCAATTCCCAGCGAGTCAAGCTCTGATCTAATGAGTTGACTCGTCTTGTATTCTTCAAATGCAAGTTCTGGGTTTTCATGGATTCTTCTTCTCACTTTCTTCAACCAATTCAAGAACTCGGGATTTCTGGCCGTTCCCAGTAGTTCTTGAGCGCGTGAATTCGGGTCGAATTCTGGGTTGGCCCCAGAAACCCAGATGATTTTGACCCATTTAGATTGAGACCATAAATACAGGATTAATATGGTAAACACCCAATTGTTGTAAATTGAATTGTGAGGACCCATTTTTGTTCAGATGGTGAGTCTGAAACAGAGAGAGTTAAAGATGGTTGGAGTTTAATTTGGAGACACTAATTTAATTACGTTTATAATATAAAGGCTAAAATGGAAAATTTTATGGGGCGTTAGGATTGTGGAAATAGGAGTTTGAGGATTAAAAGGTGGGAATCAGATTGGGAATTAATTGATAGAATATATAGAGAATAAATAACAATGTTTACAAAAATACCCTTATTAAGATTATTATTTCATTCTTTTCATAAATGGCAAAAATTCACCCATAAATAATCTCATTTCCGGCCAAACCCCTTTTTATTATCATTCCCACCAAACAAACAAGACTTATTTTTTAAAATTGGGATTAAAACTCCCAATCCCACCCTCAATTCCCACTTACCAAACACTAATTTAATTTCGTTTATAATATAAAGGCTAAAATGGAGTAAAATTTTGGATAAAAATGGGTAAAATCGCTAAAACTTTAATGTTTTCATTCCTTTTTACCCCTACAATAATTTTTATTTTGTCACATCTCTTAATTTTTTGGCAAAATTATAAAAAGAAAAACCTTTTGTTTGAGTAAATTTGTGAACTAGTACCTTACTTTAATTCAAGCTACCATTTTAAAAACAGAATTTAATTCAAGGTTTAGTTGATAACAAAAACAAAGTAATGAACTAGTTCACAAATTGACTTAAAATAAGGTATTTTCTGACAATTTTGCCTAATTTTTAAGTAATTATTAGAACTATCATAAAATTTTAACATATTTTTTATTAATCGCTTATGTCTAATTTTTATTATTACCTCCGTTACAGGTTATGTGCAATAATTAGACATTTTCCCTCTCTGATTTATGTCAGATCATTGCACATAACATATAACGGAGATATTAATTGCTTCTTAAAGTATGTGTCAGCTATATTGTCATTTTTTTTAATGAAGAGAATATAAAGATCATAGTGCTAATTAAAAAGTACAACTTTTTTTTTTTTTTTTTTTTTTTGGTATGTAGAGCCACAAGAGCGGGGTGAAAATCAATCCCAGATGTTAGGTATAATCTGTCTTCAATATGTGAGTTTTAAAGTAGAAACATTATCCCACTTGAAAAGAATAAAGTATGTTGGATGTCTTTATTAACTTGGGTGTGCTATGAATAATTGATTTGTTTTTGGGCCTATTTGATTGGGCTTTGGTCAGCACTTATTACTTAGCACGCACTTACTTAATTAAGTTTAACATAACCGATAATTATGCTAATATTATCCTAGTGAATAAGTACCATTTCAAACATTTGTTCACATAACACCAAATCTTCAACATATGCTAAATTTTTTTTTTAGTTTGTTTAACTTGAACTGAACGCGAATCCCATGGATGAATTAACAGCACTAGATCCACCATCTAGCACAAGATTATGTCCATTCACAAAACTTCCATCATCACTAGCTAGATACAAAGCCGCTCGAGCAACGTCCTCGGTCATCAAAACCCCTTGAGCCCCATTAAGCCTCGGTGCCATGCCACTGAATACACCCGAAGGGGAGATACAATTCACCCTTATACCATGTTGCTTAAGCTCAACACTTAAATTTTTCACCAACCCTAAAATAGCATGCTTAGACATAGTGTAAGGGTGCGTTGCAATACCTCCTATTAGTGTGCATACACTACAAGTGAACAATATGCAACCCTCCTTTTGTGGCACCATGACTCGAGCAGCGTGCTTGGCTCCAAAGAATGAACCATATAGGTTCACTCTAAGGACTCGATCCACCTCATCTTGAGTCGAGTCTAAAATCGAACCTCTAGGCTTGTCCCTTATGCCTGCATTGTTGTACATGATGTCTAGCTTGCCATACTTAGAGATTGTGTAGTCTATAAGGTCACGAACTTCTTCTTCTACTGATATGTTGCAGTGGAAGTATACGATGTTGTCGTTGTTGAGACTCTTGGCCAATTTTTGGCCTAGATCGTCTTGAATATCAGCAATTACGACTTTGGCTCCGTTTTCCCAAAAGAGTTTTGCTGTGCTTGCACCAATTCCACTAGCTCCTCCTGTTACTATTGCGACCTTTCCATCCAATCTAATTACAATATATTAATTTTAAATTAGAGAATGATGACCAATTATGCACATTAAATTTGACTATGTCTCAACTAATATCATCTTATGTTCATCTAGCAATACTTGTACTAGTTTGAACATTCTAAATATTTTGCAAACTTTAATATAATATCGTGAAATTACAATTTGGAGGCGATTTTTAATGATATTTTCATAGTTAATAAATACTATACAAATTAAAGTAATACTTGTAACAAAGATATACATAGTATTATAAGTTAGAAGCATATGACAAAAAAACAGTCTCTAGCTATAATCAACCAAAAGATGTGCTCTGTCAAAAAAAAAAAAAACTAAAAGATGTACTAATTACTAATTTATGAGTTTTGTTTGATTTTTTTTTTAATCAGGTAAACAATCACAACCTAATATAAAAGCAATGTAATTAAGTACAATTATAAACTAGAACTTTGTACATCCTTCTGAAATATTACTTTGACCTTCGTATTTTTTTATTTATTTTTTTTTCCTGCTCATTTTGATGATTATTGCTCATTTAATGATTAAATGAGCAATAATCTTTTTTGTACACTCATCAAGATTATTTATTGCTCATTTAGTGTACCCTGTACCTGGGTAATGTAAGATTTTTCAGCCTTCAAATATCAAGGGAAGTTGTTTATGCTTACCTTTTGTTGGTTGATGCGGGTGAAAAACTCATCTCGCCTAAATAATCGGATTGAAAGCTCAAAAAAAGAAGAAGAGATATTATAAATATACTTCGTATGTATTTATGATATTTGGTAGAACATCAATCTTGTTTGATGTCCTATTTATATACATATAATCACTTGATTAATTAAAAACACAAAATCATAACAAAGATTTACGTATTAATAAAGATTTACGTGGGACGTCACATTGGATTTGTTATCCCAAGATTTCAGTTGACCAAGTCTTGAATTGTATGTATATTAATATACTTCCTCCGTTCTATTAATATTGCAACAATGAACTTTTTGCACTATTTATCACTCTTGTTTGATCATATAATATGAGTTATACGTTAAGCAAAATATAGGCAAGTGGGATCTTGTTGGATTCGTCTCATATAATACTTTCACAATATCAACTTTTTATAATTTTTACTCTTATACAATTATAGATATTTAGCATATAAAATGTGTTTCGGGATGCGTAATTTCCTCCTTGTTACAATATTAACAGAACGGAGGAAGTATTATATACGAATCATTATGTGTAATGTAAGATATGAAAATTTTCATGACATTAGGTCGATTAATAGTCTTAGGCTATGTTCACATTTACTGAACTGAACTGATTGGAGCTGAACTGAACTGAACTATTTGGACCTGAACTGAACTGAGATGAAATGAATATTTTATGAGAGAGAGAAATTAGGAGCTGAACTGAACTAAACTGATTGGATCTGACTAAACTGCACTGAACTAAATTGAAATTAAGTAAATGTGAACATGCCCTTATTCGATATTGGAAGCCATCTTTATTTTATTATCAATGATAGCCTTGTAGTATTAAAAACTTACTTCCGTAGCCTTATTGATCGAAGCTAAAAATGTTAATTGACCGTTAAATTTAACTATAGTCAGCCGACATCTTTCATGGTGATAATGGTTGACTGCAGTTAAATTTAATAGTCGATTGACGTTTTTAGCTTCAATAAGACTATTGACTACTGAGTATGTTTTTCAATTTTATACTAAAAGACTATCATTGATAATAAAAAAAAAATGGCTACCAATAAAAATAAATAAGCAAAACCAGAGAGTTATCATTGAGAATTTCCCATAAAACATTATTTATAACAATAATGAACTTCTCAAAGATTAAACTACTTTGATATATATAGAGTATTAACCTAGTGCTTTATTTCAAAGAAAATAAGAAATAGAGTATTAACCGACGTAGTAGTAGTTAACGTGTCAAAGATTGATCTGGCAAGTAATTGGCAATTTGGCACTATCGAATGAAGAAGGGTAATCAGGCCATGAGAATAAAGGAGTACTATCACAAGAGCTAGTCATAGTAGGTGGATTTGAAAATCCATAAAGAGACACATACATACACTCCTTTAGGACGAATACTAGGGAGTTCTATTAGAGGTTCATCAGAATTTAGCAAAATCATCACCACTTTTCGCATTTTTGGTCTCAAGTTCAATTCCAAATGCAAGCATGCTAGACTGCTAGTGCTACACTTAAAACCCTAAGAGCTTCTTCCTTGTTAAACTCCTTATTTAGCTTAGGATCCACCTCTGATGCACGGAAACGTCAAAATTCATTGACGTATCGTTTCCGTTTAGAAACGCGTTTCGAAATGTATTTGAAAGTTTCCTGGCTTTGCAAAACTTCTCACACCATTTGAAAGTTTGGAAACCTTGGGGAAACTTAATCAGGGGTATATAAAAGCATTTCCCCTTTGAAAAAGCAATTAAACCTTGGTGATTTGGGGTTTATTTTTGTTTTAATTTGAGAAAGAAAGGAAATATATCTTACAAATTACCGTCATCGTTCATCTGTGTGACTCTTGTATGGCCGTATGTAGAAGATTAAGAGTTAGAGGAAAAGCCTAAACTACTTTGTCTTGTTATGATGAACAATTTTAGTTTTTATTCGCAAGTGATGATCTTGAATTGTCTGCAACTCTGCATATATATTCTTATTGCTTGAGAAGAAGAGGAAGATGAATGAAGGTGGGGACATTGAATTAGAAAAAAGAAATAGTTTGGTCTTTAATCAATTGGTATTATATTATGATATGAAGTAAATATCTTTATTTATTTTAATTTTTTCGTTTCCCCGTTTCTCATAATTTAATAATTTTCGTTTCCCCGATTCCCCGTTTTCGTTTCCGTTTCCCGTTTCCGTGCAACCTAGGGATCCACACACTCTACCAATGCACCCTTTGCATGCATATCCCATGCTTGATCCAAGCAACTTTCGCCTAGGAGGTCACTAAACCTCTTCCCACACACCATCTCCAATGCAACTACACCAAAGCTATACACATCTGACTCAGTTAGTTGTTGCCTTCCCGGTGTAGCTTACCATTGTGGTGACTCCCGTTGTGTTCTTTAGCAACCTAGGCACCTAGCAAGCCCAAAATCACCAAGATGCAGGTTGAACTTTGCATCTAGCATGACATTTCTAGGCTTCACATCTCTATGCACTACCGGATCACCACATTCTTCACGGAGGTACAACAATGCCCGCTGATGCTAAGCTGGTAATTACTTTGTGCCTTGTCTTCCCGTCCAAGAACTTTTGCCTTGCGAGGAATTCGTTGAGGCTCTTATTAGCCATGTAGTCATATACTAGAACAAGACTGTTGTTTTCATGACTCCATCCTTGGAGCTGCAATGTGTTTATGAGCCTTAGGCGCCTAATTGTACATATCTCTGCTATATATTCTCTCTCACCTGGTTAAGCAAGAAAATAAAACAGCCTTGATTATTAATCGGTCAACTTTGCAAGACAAGCTTCAGAGAGACGGGACGGAGCCTAAATTTGAACTCGTGACCTTATTGTAAAAAAAACACATATCCTACTACTACGGGCGGGGATACAATTGCTAATACTGAAAGTGGCACGAGGCAATTTTGTTAAACTGAGCCCTAAAATCATTTTGTTGAGGAAAATATGTTACTAAATTCAAAAACCAGGGCCCTTTTATAGTAGTTTTACTTAGGGTCCTTGTGTAATCGACCACTCTACACATGCCCAGAACCACCCCTACCTATTAGTCTATTACCAATTTACCATACATAGCACCTAACAATTTACACCAATAATATTAGTTTACTATTACTCTCCAACACATATATATGTAGTTATGTACCACAAAAAATATATATCGACACTTTATGCAATTATGAATATGTAATGATTTCATCTAGAAAAAGAGTAAACAGAAATATAGTAACAACTAACAAGCTAAGCATAAAGAAAATCAAGAAAATAACACCAACCTTGTTGAGAGGTAGATGAAATCTTCTTGACAGCAATAGTCTGAGGAGGATCCAAAATCTGCCCTTTATAAACACTTCCAAAACCACCAGTCCCTAACAAATTACCCTTACTAAAATTCTTAGTAGCCTTAGCAAGTTGTTTGTACGTAATCTTCCTGAAGCCGCGACAGCTGACTGCCTATCAAGCTCTTCCATTCTCCGAATCCTTTCCCTCTTCTTGATCATTCTACGTCGAAACTAGACCCTATCAAGGATAACCCGGCCCGATTTTGGGCAGGATTTTCTGGCCCGGCCTGTAATTTTATTTTTTTGGGCAGGTTTGAAAATGCGGTTTTATGCATTTTTAGTTAATTTTTTGGCCCGACCCGGCCATTTTGGGCACAAAAATCCTACCCGAAGTTTGGCTCGGCTCGGTCCGATAAGTGGGCTGATTTTTTCAACCTCGGCCCGGTCCGAACCCGACACGACCCACCCACCCAATGATCACCTCTAGTCGAAACACAGGAATTGCAATCAATGCAAAGATAAAAAAGCTCCTACAATTGCGTGCTAACACACTCGCGAATTGAATATGATGTCCTTCTTCTTGTTATCCTTGACAGTGTAGTAAGGCAACATTGTAGAAATGAAAATCCAATCATGTATTTGATGAGTCTCAGTGAGTGTACCAGTTGAAGCTGGTAAAACCCAAGTATACTTGACTTGAGATTTTCTTTGAGACTTTTATTTTGTAATTTATGAAACATTTTAATGGACTTCCTTCATAACCCACCAATATTTGTAGCATTTTTGTCCAACCATTGTATTCAATCTTCACTCTAATTTGTTTTCCACTTTTGAGATAAATTTTGGATGAATTTAAGGACTTTGCAACCAAAGAATTCGACACACTTATTGTGTTAATTCCAATGTGATTACCATCTGGATCTCACTCGTTGTTCTTGAATGTGTCAAATTCAATTGCTAATTGTTTGAATTTTGAGTGAAGTGATAAATCAATCAATAATAATATCAATTTAAGAGAGTTAAGCAACATCAATTTCTAAGGTGGATACATGTCTTTTCGTTCCACTTTATCATCAAAAAAACTTTTATTACTTGAACAATAAAAGGAAAAATTTGTCAATTGCAGCTATTTAAAGCTTACATTTTACAAATCACAGTCATTCTTACTATTCTCTACCACTATATTTCTCTACCACTAACCAGGTACTATGGTAGTAGGGTACCCAATTTTCACGGGTTAGGCCATGGGCTGAGTTTTTAATGCGTTAGTGCCCTACCGCTATATACTACCACAAGTCCACTACTACTATCATAATCACTAACATTCTTTCCAAGATATACAAAGAAATAATTTACTATGACCTTCTTTAGCATGAGACATGTTGACATCAACACACGGGCTAGCATCTCCCGATCAGTACCCATCTTTAGGAAATTATTTCAATCCCCCATCAAGGTTTTTAAATAAGTACACAAATTGATGGATTTACCTTCTCACAAGGATCATATCTAGGCCTAGATCAATAAGACACAAAAAACTATTCCTCTCTTATTAATTTAATTCCCAAACATAAGAGCCACTCAATAAGTCAATAGATCTATAGTAAAAAGCAATAATGTATGTGATTAGATATGTTACCAACTGATCTCCTATTAATCTATTTAACACGTGATTTGTTAGCATCATGCACTTTACGTCTTTACACATAAGTTGTAGAAGGGGCCATTTTCGTCCCTATAATAATTAATAGAGAATTATTATTAAAGATCAAAACTTGTAAGAAATTTAATTATCCAAAGCGTTGATAAATAAAGAGAGGCTAAGAATCAACGACATGTCATCAATGGCTCCTCTTACAGCTCAGAGGTTTGAATTACTTCTTCTTGCTCATTTTTAATTCACTTAATTTTTTTTATATTTTTTTCTAATTGCGTGAAATATTGTCTTAGTTTTTGTGTAATTAAAGTATTAAGTATGCATACTAAATAAAGTAAAATATTCGATCTCATGAAAGAATTCATTTAACTTATTAGCTTCGAAGATCTGTAATGTTATTATGATAGAAGTGGTAACATATAACAAAAAAAATCGGGATTGATGGATTAATTTCATGTCAACAATGCCAAAATAAGTGTGGTTAAATTTTGTTACTTTTTTTTTTTTTTTTATGATTATTCTTTGAATTATTTTTTGGTACAAGTTAAGTTTTGTTTGTTTTGACGGAAATGATCTGATTAAAATTCTCTAAACCTAGGCTTCATTGATGAAAATATTGATGATATCAATTACGAAGTACGAGTATAAGATAGTGATAACATAATAAAGCAAAACGAGTGTATTTTCAAGTAAAATTTGTCGCTAGAGACAAGTTCATATTTTTAGAAATGATGATAAGTCAATTTTACCCTTAATATGGGTTCAAAAAAAAATTTACCCTTAATATATATAGAGTAATAAGAAAGTGGAAAGGATGTTAAGGTCTTGCTGCATGGTATTTAACTAAATTATTATATAGCAGATTATTAACAGATACAGAGGAGATCTTGGGATCACAAATCATAGTGTCTATACAAGTCAAAAATCACAATCAGGTTATTTTTAAGTCGGGTCAGTTTTTGACACCTCGTATACTAAAATGTGTCAATAAAAGGGGTTGTTGATAGAAATACTTAATAACTAAACAAAGTTGTCATTTGGCAATTTCACAACAAACCAACTATGATTATTTAAGTATAATTTACTTGTTGAAACATCACAATTTTGTAGGTTGAAAGGTAAGGTTGCAATCATAACAGGAGGAGGAAGTGGGTTTGGAAAGACCACAGCAAAACTATTTGTCCAACACGGCGCCAAAGTCGTGATCGGTGATGTTCAAGATGAGCAAGGCCTTTCCTTGTGCAATGAACTAATTGCTTCTAGCAACAACGACGACAACGATCACGGAGATATAATCACTTACGTTCATTGCAATGTATCCGATGACAACGACGTACAAAATCTCATTGATCACACCATCACTAAGCACGGAAAACTCGACATCATGTTTAATAACGCTGGTATATTAGGAGACCCCAACCCATCTATTTTAACTTCCACAAATGAGAATTTTAAAAGCGTGTTTGAAACAAACGTGTATGGTGGCTTCTTAGGCGCTAAGCATGCCGCAAGGGTGATGATTCCGGCTAAGTCCGGTGTCATCCTCTTTACGGCTAGCATTGCATCAGTGATGGGTTTTGACTCAACTCATGCATACACCATGTCAAAGCACGCTATAATTGGTTTAATGAAAAACTTGTGCGTCGAAATGGGGCAATATGGCATAAGGGTGAATGCGATATCTCCGACTGTTGTATCTACGCCGTTAATGATGAATGCATTAGGGATGGATAAGGAGAAGGTCGACGAAATAAATAAAGAATCTTATGTGCTCAAAGGGGCTACACCAGAGCCCTTGGATGTTGCTAACGCAGCATTGTTTTTGGCAAGTGATTGACGCTAAGTTTGTGAGTGGTGCTAATCTTTTTGTTGATGGTGGTTATACTGTCACTAATCCATCTTTCACAATGGCTCTCAATAAACATATTGTAAAAATGAGATTATAAAATGCATGATATACAATGTAATATGGCATATGTATGTTAGTATATACTCTGTACTGTAATATTTATATGGGTAAGGATTACGGAGTATGTTAATGTTTATTAATGTAATGAACATTCCCATTTATGAACAAAAAAAATGCACTCGTTCTTTAAATTGTCTATGAAAGTAGCTACCAGTCTAACACATAATGAACCACGAAATCAATGTGTGTATAACAAATTGGTAATTTGGTATTTGGGCTAGGCAAGACGCCTTTTGTGCTTGGGCTTGTGCTTTTGCTTGGCTTATCTATATGTGTCTCTTTAGAGACGTTGGATCTATAAGGCATGGGTTCACAATTTATACCTACTTTTTTTTTTTTTTTTCAAGAAAAAGACTATATATATATATGGATTTACATTTTAGGATGAGATTGTTAAGGCTTATCTAATACTCCCTCCGTTTTTAAATACTTGCTCCATTTTTCTTTTCCGGCCGTTTTTAAATACTTGCTCCATTTTCTTTTTTGGAAGGCATTTACAATATTTAATTTATTACTCACACTTAGTAGACCCAACATAATACTCTCTCTCTCTCCTCCTATTCTTCCACTACTTTTGTTTTTTTACAATTTTTTATTTCTCAACTATCCCACTACCTTCATATTTTATTACTTTCTCCAATTTCTTCTATATCCCGCGCATTGAGAAATGGAGCATATATTTAAAAACGGAGGGAGTATATGGATTCACATATGACATTACTCATAAATTAAAGGCAAAATTGGTTGTAATACCTAAAGTATGGCTTAGGTACACTGAGCACTCTGAACTTTTCGTGGTAGCCAAAACACCACCAACTATGGTGTAAGGTGCAATACATGCCTTAAATGAAAAATTCCGGCCAGTTATTTCATCGGATTAGGTGAATCTTCACTCTTCAGTAGGGCTGCAAATGAGCCGATACGTTTGTGAACAACTCGCAAACAAGCTCGGTCAAAGCTTGTTTATTAAGAATTGAACGAGTTTGAACAAAAATTTGAGGCTCCTTAAGTAAACGAGCCCAACTTGAACACCTTTGTGCTCGGCTCGTTAATGTTCACAAACACTCGTACATAACTCATACATATGATCGTGCATATGCTCATTTATAACTCGTTCAACCTCAAAACAATTAATTTCACTGTTTTAATTATTCTTAAAATAGTTCAATTTTAATATAAAACCAAATCAATTATAATCAATTATCGTATATAATCAAATTAGCCATGTTAATAATATCTAGTAAAATTAAAATATATGGAGTATTATTTTTAACAAAGTGAATAGTATATTTGCTCAAAATTTTGATTTATAATATCAAATACTCAATTACTGTCTATCTTGTTGTTACGATGAATATCATCAAATGACTTTTCTAATTAGAGTATGCTTATAGTTTTTCAAAGTTGATTAATATTAGCTTGATTGAGCTCGCGCGTTCACGTTTGAGCTTGTTCACATTAGAGCTTGTTCAAGCTCGAGCTCGAATCACAAACGAACGAGCTCAAGCTGAGCTCGAACAAGGCAAAAACTTAATGAACAATAAAGCTTGAACACAAAATATATTATTTATGAAGCTCGTTCAAGCTCAAGCATGATTGAAAACTTGGAATCTTTATCAAGCTTAGCTCGAACAAGTAAAAACCTCGACTTGGCTTGGATCGTTTGCAGCCCTACCCTTCAGAACAGTTTAAAGAAATGGTAAACAATTGACATCCACTTGGCAAGCTCGGACTCACCTCCTTCGATGAAACAAGTGGTCAGAATTTTTCATTTAAAACACACGTCGAACCTTACACCATAATTGGTGGTGTTTTGGCTACTAAGCAAAATTCAAGGTGCTCAGTGCATCTATGCCATACTTCAAGAATCAAGATGTTACGACCAATTTTTCCTAAATTAAATATCAACAAGAGTATAACATAACACTACATTTTCTTAGCTCAATTGGGAATATATTGACATTACTCATAAATTAAATATCAACAAGAGTACAACATAGCACTACGTTTTCTTAGCTTAATTAGAGAAAACGATTCGCTTGAGTACGAGGTACATGAATTTTCACGGCCCGAGCAATCAATCAATACTATATAGGAGTATTAAAGTAATCACCAACATTATCCCAAAAGTATACGTGTCGTGTCTACATTAAAATTTTCCCGCCAAAAACTTTTTATTTATTTTATTTTTTAATAAAATAATAAGATAATTAATAAAAAAAAAAAAAGAGATTTTACAGCCTAAATAATACGGAGTAAAACAATAACAATTTTGAATACATAAAATAGTAAATGGATACAAAATCTATAAACAAATACAAACCTATAATAATATATAAATACGAAGTATACTTTTTTATTTCTTATAATAATATATAAATATAATTTGTTTTTCAGAGGTTTTTCAGTGCGGCAGGGATTATTTATAGGGTGTTACTGGTTTTGTCAGGGGTTACTTGTAGGTGCTACTTGTATTTTTGGTTACTGGTATGAGTTACTTGTATGTGTTACTTGTATTTTGGGGTTACTTGAATTGTATGAGTTACTTGTAGGTGTCACTTGTATTTTGACTTACCCCTATAAGTAACCCCAGACCAAACCCCCATACTAAAACTAGTAACATCCTACAACTAACCCCTGATCAAAACCAATAACACTCTACAAGTAATTCCAGAATACAAGTAACACCCTTACCAAAAACCGGTGTTACCCTATAAGTAACCCCAGATTAAAAGTAACACCTACAAGTAACACCTTACTAGTAACCCTAGAATACAAGTAACACGTACAAGTAGCACCATGTGACTAGCCACATACAAAAATTTGTATAATTTTTTTCCCCTTGAATGCTCGGACAAAGAACTAGTTAACAAATAAATTTTGACGTGTTCCCAAATTACTAGTCTCTCAAGCTAACTTTTCAAAAAAGTACACCAAGTACGTGGCTTTTGGAAGCATGCACGTTATAGATAAGTTGCTAAAGGAACCATTTTCCAAATTCCACCCTATAATTTATACAGAATTATTAGAGAGCAAAAGTTGTAAGAATATATCAAAAGTGCGGATAAAAATAAAGTGGTCAAGAATGAACAACACATCATCAATGACTCCTCTTACTGCCCAGAGGTGTGATTCTTCTTTCTTGCTCAATGCTCATTTTCTTAATTCACTTATTTTTATTTTAAGAGGTCAAGATTCAAGAATGAACAGCACATCATCAATATAGTTGCTCTGCATCATAATCTCTTAATTCACAGAGGTTGACATTTTCTTAATTCACAGAGGTTTACATTTTAATAAGAAAGAAAATGTACCCTTTTTGTAAACTCGGCTACTTGTGGCTTGCTCTTGGGCCTTTCATTAGTTTAGATGAAAAAATCTTCATGTTCCTTTTTTTTTTTTTGACAACATGTTCCTTATTTATTTTCTTTAATTTAATTATCTTTTCCACTTTTAATTTCTTGTTTCATATTGTATGCAAAGGGATTATTTCACTATTGTAAAATTGAATGTAAAATTGCTTGTACACTATTGTACAAGCAATTTTACATTCAATTTTTTTTTAAAAAAATTAATGAACTCTATTGAAAGACCATAACAAAACTTATACCAAAAACTCATGAAGCTTACTCTTTTCGATTCGCCCCTAAAAGATCGTCTAACGTTTACAATAAAATTTTTCTTTATTTTTTCCATCTACATACCATCGGGATTTGAAGTTGAACCACGCAACAATCATATTTAATTGCATATACGTCACTTAGGGCCTGTTCTCATACAATTATTTTCAGTTCAGCTCTAATAAGTTAGTTCAGTTCAGCTCTAATAAGTTTAATTCAGTTCAGCTCATTTCAGTCAATGAGAACAGGCTCTTAGGCAATATTTTAGTCCATCTTAGTTTTGCTTATTTAATCGAATTTGAAATGATTTTTTTATCTGAACTTTTTTTTTTTTTTGACATGATATATAATTACCATTTTCAATTTAAACTTTGCAGGTTGAAAGGTAAGGTTGCAATCATAACCGGAGGAGCAAGTGGGTTAGGAAAGGCCACAGCAAAACTCTTCGTACAACACGGCGCCAAAGTTGTGGTTGGAGATGTCCAAGATGAGCTAGGACTATCCTTGTGCAATGAAATAATTGCTTCCACCACCAACGACAACGATCACAAAAACATAATCACTTACATTCATTGTAATGTATCCGATGACAATGATGTCAAAAATCTTATTGATCTCACCATCTCTAAACACGGAAAACTCGACATCATGTTCAACAACGCTGGTATATACGGTGACACAACCCCATCTATTTTAGCTACCACGAATGAGAATTTTAAAAGCGTGTTTGAAACAAACGTGTATGGTGGCTTCTTAGGAGCTAAGCATGCCGCGAGGGTAATGATTCCGGCTAAGTCCGGAGTCATTCTCTTTACGGCTAGCATTGCATCGATGATGGCTCTCGATGCACCTCATGCATACACCATGTCGAAGCACGCAATCATTGGTTTGATGAAGAACTTGTGTGTTGAATTGGGACAATATGATATTAGGGTGAATGCGATATCGCCTTGTGCTGTTTCTACGCCATTAGCAACGAATGCATTGGGGATGGATAAGGAGACGATCGATGAAGTAATTCGTGAATCTTATGTGCTCAAAGGGGTTAAATCAGAGCCCTTGGATGTTGCTAATGCAGCATTGTTTTTGGCAAGTGATGAAGCTAAGTTTGTGAGTGGTGCTAATTTTGTAGTTGATGGTGGTTATACTGTTACTAATCCATCTTTTACCATGGCTCTCATTAAACATTCTGTATGATCTAAAGAAAGGCTATATTGAACATTGGCCCAAGGAAAATAAGGTGGTTTAGAATGAAAATCACAATGGTATTGGTACAATGTAATAAGGCTTATTTTAGCAAGCACAATGTTAGTGAAGCACGACGTAAATATATGTGTGTTATCGTGTTTTTTCATTAATTTTTATCCTTTTTTAACCGATTGATATAAAGTGGTATATGTTTAGCACGATAGAGCTATGCATGTGTTGAGCCGACATAAAAATGACCCGTTTCAATATGAGCCTAATACAAAACAAGAAGCACATTGACAAGTAACACGTAAAAATCTTTTAGCTAACATAAATATATCACAAAATATATTTCCAATAAATATGTAATACAAAAGTGTTTAGTGAGTGTTTGAGTAATGCTAATCTTGTAGTTGATGGTGAGTGCATCTCAATACATGTACATCTTTTTTCAAAATTTTGTAAATATGATGGGGTGACACGAGAATGACCAAATCCAACATGTGTATGTTTACCAAATCCTACTACGTATTTATTTATTCATTTTTAGTCATCCAAATTTCATTGTTAATATTGTTTTTACTCACTATACTAAAAACTTAGGAAAAATTGATGAGAATAATCCCACTTTTTGAGCGTCGGAGATTAATAATCCCACTTCTGGGATTCTTTTTAATAATCCCACCTTTGATATCAATCCGCTGAAAATAATCGCGGGTGACCAGTAACCGGTTGAAGAGGTAATTTTTTTTTAAGCTTATTTTACACGTGTCACAATTTGATTTGTCCAAAATAAAAAAAAAGTAAAAAAAAAAAAGAAAGAAAAAAAGAAAACTAACACAACCTCAGCCACATCACAACCACCACCATCCAAACCCATAATCAGAACCACCATCCCACCACCCAAAACCAAAACCACAGCCACCACTAGCCCAACCCCAAAACCACCTTTTAAAATAAAAAACCCACCAAACCCAAAACCACCTTCAATAATCGAAAGGGAAACCGAGATCGGGACGGAACCCACCAGCGCCAGACCCTCCCTCTCCCCTGAACCACCGCGCCGACGACAGCCATCCCAACCCCAATGGTGGGATTTCGAAAAATCGAAACCAATTGAATTGAAACAATTGACCCAGAAGAAGGTCGGAATCTGGACGGGGAAGGGGGCAAGGTGAAGAGGAGGGAGGAGTGTGGTTGTTTGGCGGCCGGAAATGCGACGGGAAGCGGCGAGGTGAAGAGGAGGGAGGCGAACGTGCCTGGGTTGGTGATTCGTGGAATCGCGACGGGGAAGGGGCGAGGTGAAGAGGAGGGAGGCGTGGTGGTTTCCTGGAATCGTGGGTGAGGGAGGGGCGGGGTTGGTGATTCAGGTGGTTCGGGGAGGGGGAGGGTCTGCGCTGTCGGCGGCGACGTGGGATGGTGGCAGGGTGGTCGGAGACGCGGGGCAGGGAACGGAGTCAGGGGCGTGGGGATGGTGGCTGGAATGGGTGGGTTTGGTTTTTTTATTATTATTTTTTTTTTCTTTAAAAAAAATCTAATTTTTTAAAAAAATTATTTTATTTTATTTTTAATTTTTTGACCAATCACAAGCCGCCACGTGTCATATAACCTGTTATAACAGGTTACATGTAACAGGTTACATGACCGGTTGGAACTATTTTCAGCAGATTGATATCAGAGGTAGGATTATTAAAAAGAATTCCAAAAGTGGGATTATTAATCTCCGATATTCAAAAGGTGGGATTATTCCAATCAATTTTTCCAAAAACTTATGCTAATAATGGCCAATGAGACTTAAAAAGGAACCGATGAAGTTAAACGTGATTTAGACATTTCAATCAAGTAATATCCTAGTATAGTACATGTGTTTTGGAAGCTAGCACTTTATTATGATTTAAAGAGAATAAGAGATAGTGCAAGAGTAGTAAGATATTATCAAAAGCGTGGATAAGTAGAAAGAGGCCAAGAATGAACGGCACATCATCAACAGCTCCTCTTATCGCCCAAAGGTGTGAATTACTTCTTTCTTGCATTTTTTCTTACTTCACTCTAATTTTTTTTTATTTTTTTATTTTTTTATTTTTTTTTTTGGATGTGAAAATCATAGTTTTTGTAGTACATACATCTATATGATGCAACATTTCCATCTCATTAATTTAGCTTCTTAGTTTTTTGTAGAATAGAAATTACTTGATAGTAACATCGATCATATTTTCCCTGTTCTAATAATTAGGGCAGTCAACGCGCGCGTTGCACGCGGAATGGCTTGTCCTTGCAACAATTTTACTTGTCTTGTGTTTGCACTTCACATGGAGGAATAAAAGACCGGTAAAGGAATATATTTCTATTGTTTAGGCATTGTTTGTTTATAGTCGTCCTAAGTTGAATGTTACGCGTGAAATATCTTGTATATTGAAAAAAATCTTTATTTTTATTATTTGTATATGGTGATTTTTTTAATTGGAGTACTATGTAGAGTTACAGTAGAATATAATTATTAGGTTTTTCAATGATAATGCTGAAAAGGAACAAATGTTAAAATTGTTGTTTATTTATTTTCGCAATGTTGATATTAGCATTACTTAATTGTGGTGGTACAATACGAAATAGAGAAAGAATCATCAGTGATGAAACCGAAACGACCAATTCCTAATCCACCACAGAGGCTAACAATATTAATCAATACATTTTATCCATCACAAAGGCTAACAATATTAATCAATGAGTTCATTTCTAATTTAAAAGTACAATCCTTCTAGATGAAATCGAAACAACCAATTCCTTCACACACTTATGCCCAATCGTACATGATATGTATATATATTACACTAAAGCAGCTATCCACCTATCAAGTCAAGTCTAACCAATGAGTTCTTAGACTTAAGAAGTCCTGGATAGTGTATAGTGACTAAATTCAAGTCCAGACTAAATTATGAAATTAATTTTATCTTACACTGATGAATTGCTCATATGCTAAAATAATGATCTTTAATAGAATTCCAATGTGATCCTATCATTACATGTTATGAAGTTCAAAATCCATAGTAGAATGTTCTTAACATAATAATAATCCTGTTTTAAATCTATGGACTTTGCACCCAGAAAATCCGGCCGCCCTCTTCCACCGCCTCCCCCTCTCCCCTCTCCCTTCTCGAGGCCCCTTTCCTCAGAGTTCCCGTTTCCAGACCATCGACTGCGAAAAGGTCCTCATTAAATATTCTTTTTCTGCTATATATTGGTATTGTCAACTTTTTTGTTTGCCGCAATTTAATTGATTTGGAAATTTTGGGAAGGTGTTAAACAAAGATGTGGAATTTAGTACTTGGAAATGGCAAAGTTAGTGTGTAGAGAGAAAGTTAAAAGCTCTAATATAACATACAATATTAACATAATTAACAAACCAAACTCTAATATTTCAAGAGATGGAGTCATGGAGAGGAGGAGAGAAAGCTCAAATGTGTAAGGAAATGTAGATGGGTATAAACAATTTAAAGTTGGACTGTTGGAGTACAAAATTACAAATCTGGGTACAAAGGTAAAACACATTTTGAAGGGTAAATAGGGGTATAAAGGTAAAAAAAATATTTTAAAGGGTATAAAAGTCCGTGCACTATTTATAAGAACAACTTTATACTTTTTATAAGGTAGGGATATGTAATCATGCATGGAATTGATATATGAATTATTAACGGGGTTGGGGAGTTGGTTTGGAGGGATAACTACATGTTATCTAGATTTGAAGATGGGAAGGGTTGAGCCTAAGTTCAAGCAAAAACAATTTGTCTTCATGTCAAAAATCACTGGCTTTTCATATCATTTTTAGGCCGAACCAAAATTATTATAACTAAAAATTAAATGTTAAGTTATCTCAAACCCCGAAAAAAGGGTCAATTTGAGCCTAAAATTCGAAACCAAAAATCTGCCCAAACCTGACTAATTTTCAAGCTGGACTCGGCCTCATTTAATTTGCTCTACTACACCAAAAACCTAAAGATCGAGTTAATTAATATTTAATATCTCGATTACTTAGCTTGATTAAATAAGCAATAAATAATGACATTATATGAGTCTAGAGGTAGGCCCTCATACAAACTCAAGATACATTTATTATATTCAAAAGTAATTATACACATATAGAGTCAGGGGTGATTTTGACTTTCGAGCATTTGCAATAGTGCAACTGTGCAAGGTACTTGATCGCATAGGCCCCTAAGTAAAAGGGACCCCAAAATTGGGTATTTAGGGTTTATTCACATTACTGAACTGAAATGAACTTAACTGAACTTAACTGAACTGAATTAATTGGAGCTTAACTGAACTGAACTGATTGAAGCTAAATTGAACTGATTGGAGCTGAACTAAACTGAACTGAGCTGAAATGAATACTTTATATGAGAGGAAAATTAGGAGCTAAACTAAACAGAACTGATTGGAGCTAAACTGAACTGATTGGAGCTGAACTGAACTGAATTGATTGGAGCTAAACTGAAATAAAATGAACTGATTGGAGCTGAGCTGAACTGAACAGAAATTAAGTAAATGTGAACAGGCCCTTACTCATTGTTACTATTAGTGGAGTCATGCATAGTGGGTTAGTTAGATAAGATCATGCTCCTAATTATTAGCTTTAGGTTGTTATTCCATATGCTATTTATATACATGCATCTTTGTATTCTCGTTGAGTAGAGTGCAAGTTAATAAAATCAGTTTTGTTTATCTCCATTAATATTAATATATTATTATTTCACTTTAGTATAAGCTTCAACAATTAGATGGTGTAATTTTTTGGCAAATCACATATACGCAGGTTGAAAGGTAAGTTTGCAATTATAACAGGGGGAGCAAGTGGATTTGGAAAGACCACAACAAAACTCTTTGTCCAACACGGCGCCAAAGTCGTGATCGGCGATGTTCAAGATGAGCAAGGCCTTTCCTTATGCAATGAAATCAACAACAACGATCACGGAGATGTAATCACTGTTATGGGTAAAAAAACTGCAAGGGTTAGTCAACGATAGTCAACGAAGGTCAATGACGAAGACTCCCCTTGACGAAGGCACAAGCTCGACGACGCATCATCAACATTGACGGAAAGACGAAGTCAAGTAACAACTCCCTAATTTTTAGGATGAAGATAAGTAAAGACTTAGTCCAACCTCAGCCAAATCAGTCCGTTGGAATTCAAAGCAGAAGAAGGAATATTTTCCGCAACTGCAGTCCGAAAATCATGGGCATGATTTTATCTCCATGCAACGGCTAGAGTTTAACCTAGCAACCATCCATATAAAGGGCAGGGCAACGACGGGTAGAAAACATTCTCATCCAACGATATACATACTACATCACATCTTGTAAACTGATATTATTATTTCTGGCATAGTGAAAGTTTGGTAGATCCTCATTCTACCCGCGGTTTTTACCTTCATTGGTTTTTCCGCGTCACCAATTCCTCGTATCATTTATTCTCTTTTTAGCCGTATTTTACTCTTAATATTGCTTAGTTGATCCGTAACCTAGATTTTGATATTCAACCCACTTAATAAAAATTAGCATAAACAATCACTTACGTTCATTGCAATGTATCCGATGACAATGATGTCAAAAGTCTCATTGATCACACCATCTCTAAACACGGAAAACTCGACATCATGTTCAACAATGCAGGAATATGGGGAGACTTTGACACATCTATCTTAACCTCCACAGATGAGAATTTTAAAAGCGTGTTTGAAACAAATGTGTATGGTTGTTTCTTAGGAGCTAAGCATGCCGCAAGGGTGATGATTCCGGCTAAGACCGGTGTCATTCTCTTTACGGCTAACATTGCATCAATGATATGTATCGAGTCACCTCATGCGTACACCATGTCGAAGCATGCAATAATTGGTTTAATGAAAAGCTTGTCCCTTGAAATGGGACAATATGGCATTAGGGTGAATGCAATATCACCCGGTGCTGTTTCTACGCCGTTATCAATGAATACATTGGGGATGGATAAGGAGAAAATAGACGAAATTATTGGTGAGTCTTATGTGCTCAAAGGGGTTACACCGGAGCCCTTGGATGTTGCTAATGCAGCATTGTTTTTGGCAAGTGATGAGGCTAAGTTTGTGAGGGGTGCTAATTTTGTTGATGATGGTGGGTATTTCATCACTAATCCATCTTTTTCCATGGCTCTTAATAATAAACATTTTGTGTGAAATTAACGTACACATGTTCCCAACACATTTATGGCATCTTAAATCTAATTAGTAAGATACTAAGATGTACCCATAAAAGTTTAAAGACACTGCATTGTACTGATAGTATTATAGGCCCGTATATTTGAGCCATGGGGCAATCAGGGTGGTTTTTCAAGAGTCGTGTACAAAGACCTATTTTTGTAGGAAATATTTTGTAAATAGGACATCCGTATGCGGTTTATATTTAATTTGTATGCTTATGTAGTTATGCTATGCTATCCACTCGGGATTTTAACTTATTTTATAATCTGCATTTTCCTCAAAATCAATAAATTTTCCTTTCATTAGCCCTTGAAAATAGCTAACAGGTCGTTAGTAATTTTTAAATTTTTATTTTGTATTTTTCAAATAGGTATAGACCATATTATTTTAACGCCGGTAAGACAATCAACTAATATAGTTTGAACAAGTAAAATTACCCACTTGGCCAGTGTAACCATTGCATTATGATAATTGTATAAGCTAGCTTAACGACTATTGGCCAATAAGATGCCTTTAATATCTTGAAAAAAGAAATAAACAAGTTGTAGACCTATTGATTAACAGCGTATAATTCAGAAGTCAGAGTTTCAGAATTGCAATATCTGATCTACAAGACCATAGCCACATGTGCAACTTGAATGTTCTGGCGCTGTCAACCAATTTATTGCAGTATCAATAAATTATTTACAGTTTTACTTGTCATGGTATGGTTGGCCTTAATATCACTATCACTGGTAGTCTACCACAAGTAATAAGGGTGGCAATTCTGGTCAACGTCTATAAATTTGGTACAGTATAAGCATATACAAAGTACGAGTATAAAATATGATATACTAAGTATAAGTTAAAATGTGTTGAATACGATTTAAGTTGTTTTAACTTGATTTGGACTGAGTTGAGAATTTTATATAGTGGTTTGTAAGTTATAATGTTTCACAATATATTATTTCAAGCACAGTTGATGCTTATTGAAATTTAATTTTGAAATTTAATTGTGTCCAAATCTTTAAAGCTCGTATATTCTATTATTTATTGAAAGATTAACTAAACTAGCTAAAATTTAAACTAATGTTGAAATTCCATGATTAGTTATATATTACTCTTGTTTCATTAAGGAGTATTAGATTTGGATCCAAGAAAGTTACAACATTGTAGAAATTATAATACTCCATAATAGAGATGAGATGAGGAATGAAAAGAAGAACTTTATGTATTCAATTCATTGAAAAATTAAATAATATTGCAAAATTAAGTTAGAAATAAGGAAAATGATCTCATAATCGTCAACCGATCACGGCTAATATTAACCCACTAAAATCACTAGTATTATGACTTCACTAACACAAAATTATTACTAAAGGTAAACTACACACTAACAATTTGAAGTAAATATTCCAACTCCACTAAATGTACAATTTTGCTGATACTGTAGTATCTAGATTACTAAATACAACCCCTAAAAATAAAAGGAAAATTTGCAAATTGCAGCCATTTAAAGTTCGTATTTTGCAAATTACAGCCATTTAAAAAAAATTGCAAATTGCAGCCCAAAAGTTCATATAAATTGTAAATTCCAGCCCGATTTAACTTTTTCATCGGTTTACAAGTTGAAAAATTTTCGATTAAGGTTTTAGGGGCCATTAGGGTTCCGAATTGAGCTCAGAATTAGCAAAAATATAACGCAAGTATCTCGTTTAGCATAACAAAAATGTATCGATTTGTGGGAAACTGTAAATATGAGATACTTACGTTATTTTTTTGCTAATTCTGAGCTCAATTCGGGTCCCTAAGGGTTAAAATGACCCCTAAAACCTTAATCAAAGATTTTTCAACATGTAAACCGATGAAAAATTGAATCGGCCTGCAATTTACAATTTATACGAACTTATAGGATGCAATTTGCAAAAAAAAAAAATTAAATGGCTGCAATTTGCAAAATACGAACTTTAAATGACTGCAATTTGCAAATTTTTCAAAATAAAAATAATAAAATAAAACTGAACACATTTATATATATTTGATTTCAGTAGTGATACCCCAGATTATTTAGGGCTTGTTTGACATCAGTTTTGGTTTTCAGTTTTCTGGTTTTTTTAAAAAAAACCAAAAATCAAAAACAGAAAACAAGAAAAAGGTGTTTTCACTTTTATGTTGTCAGTTTTCAAAAATATCATAATTTTAATAAGTATATATAATTTTTGATTCATTAAGGGATACATATTATATACTTTTAGAAAACAAAAAACCAAAAAACAGAAAACCACAGCAATGTCAAACGAACCCTTATTAATCTGTTTATGTAATTAAATACATAAGGTAAAAGGTCCTTTTCAATTCCGTCCTCAACCACCAAATTTCACGGCCAAACTTTTTCAGATAATTTTGATGAAATTTTCATCAGGTACATTTTGAATTTATAACTATCTTTAATTTTCACTTATAAATTTATGATTACTAGAAATGCAAAATATGGATCCGAACAATCATTTTCACTGCATTGAAAACATATTACCTATATTTTGATATGGCTAAAAAGTACTCCGTACCTATATTTTTTTTTTAATGATATAAGTTGGCAACAAGCATTTAATAAGATAAAAAAAATGACCGTGTTGGTCGGCAAGAATTTACCGTAGCTTAATCTGTTGATCGGTCGAGAAGTCTTGGTAGTGAAGACTGCCAATTTTTTTTTTTTTAGAAAGCCACAAGGGCGGGGTGTAAATCAATCTCAAAATCTCCTGGAATTAGAGAAAAGGCTCTAACCGTTAGAGCTATCCTTCACTCTCACTGTCAAATTTCTATGAACAACACTATAATTTTTAGATTATCAATATGGAAATATATTTGTATTTAATATCCTTTCAAAAAAAAAAATTTGTATTTAATATGTAGAAAATACTCCTATAAATTAAGACAAATCTAATAATAACTAACAATACTCCATATGATTTCTGTAAAAAAAATAATAAATAAATAAATAAATAGAGATTCTGTTGTATATTCGTTTTAAAAAGAAACAATGTAAATAGAAATACAAAGTACAGTACTATATAAATTAAGAAACTACCTTTTATCGGCTTATTGTCAAATTAAATATTAAATCTTATTAATGTGTTATTGTCAATGACTGTATGTACATAAGAAAAGGTAGGTTGGAGATGCATGGTGTATGTAATTAGTTGCACGTAAATATCATGTGCTTTAAATTCTTTCAAAATTGCATAATTCAAATACAAACCCCGAGAGTCCTGCTATAAATATTAAATTCTCACTTCATAAATTTTGGAAGCATCCAATATTTGGAATACTATTGTCCTCCTTTTAGTGGCATTCTTTCTACGCCTTTCCTTCAATAGAGTTTGGAGCGTCTTCCATCATAAATAAGGTTGCAAATATGAATGGCAAATCAACAACTCTTTCTATTGCTAAGAGGTATGCTCTTTTATTTTATTCTCTTATTTATCTTTTTGTCATTGTCTAAAACATACATGAAATCTTTTGGTCATTGCATATATGTCGTGTATACTAACTACCTACGTCGCCACATATTGACGTAGTGAGTGAGAGCTCAGTGGTAGATCCATCTGTATGTCGTGGCCTAGTTCCAAGTAAGAGCCTCATAAGTCATAACCCCTTTCGAATTTTCGATCCCCTTATTTCTCCCAACAAATATGTATGCAAAGGTGCATTAGGCCACTAGGGAGGGGGTTTGTGCCTTTGCATATATAGTTGTATTAGTGGCTCGAATATACTACCTCTGTTACAGGTTATGTGCAACGATTTGACATAAAGCAGAGAGGAAAAATGTCTAATTGTTGCACATAATCTGTAACAGAAGTAGTAGGAAATTAAAGGTACACTAAAGTCATGATAGTCTTAGATTCTTCACCACATAATCATATACTACATCCGTTAAATATTAGTTGCAATTTTGGGGTATTATTTGTAAGATATAAAATATTCCAAAGTTGTAAATAATATTTAATCGATATAGTATATATAATTGCAACATATTGTCCTTTTTTTTTGGTGAGTAATAAGCTAGTTTACTAGATGAGATATACTTGTATGTGTACATGTACATATAATTATAAAAATGTAATTTAGCTAACATATAATATGTTTATTCCTACAGGCTTAAAGGAAAGGTAGCAATTATAACTGGGGGAGCAGGAGGATTTGGAGAGATCACGGCAAAACTCTTCGTCCAACATGGAGCCAAAGTCATTATTGCCGACGTACAAGACGATAAAGGCGTTTCCTTGTGTAACGAAATCATTGCTACCTACAAACATGGTGAAAACGACGAAGAAATAATCTCCTATGTACATTGCAACATTTCCGATGAGACCGACATGAAAAACCTCGTCGATCTAGCTATATCAAAGCATGGAAAACTCGACATCATGTTTAACAATGCCGGTATCCCGGGTGATATAAACCCTACTATTGTAGGTGCATCTAGTGACAATTTCAAAAAAGTGTTCAACATTAATGTGTATGGTGGTTTCTTAGGGGCTAAGCATGCTGCTAGGGTTATGATCCCGAACAAGTCCGGTGTAATCCTCTTCACCGCGAGTGTTGCTGCTTTGGTGGCCGGGGAGTCACCACACGCGTACACAATGTCAAAGCACGCGATTATTGGTTTAATGAAAAACTTGTGTGTTGAAATGGGACAATATGGCATTCGAGTCAATGCGATTTCTCCTTGCGCCGTGTCCACACCGTTACTAAGTAATGCGTTAGGGATGGACAAGGAAGGTGTTGATGGGTTGATTTGTGAATCGGCCGTGCTTAAAGGGGTTGCACCGGAGGCCTTAGATGTGGCTAATGCGGCGTTATTTTTGGCAAGCGAAGAGGCCAAGTTTGTGAGCGGACTTAACTTGGTTCTTGATGGTGGGTATAGTGTCACCAACCCATCTTTCTCTATGGCTGTCAAAAAGTTGTTTTCATAGATGGATTTCTATCATTGAAGCTTTAATCACGTATGGGTTGTAACGTACTTGGATATGAGTAGGCGCAACTTATGTCTTTTTTTTGTGTGTGTGTGTGAAAGTATGTAATTGTTGGTGTAATCCATTTCATGTATAATATAGATATCTCCCTATAATAAATGTCTTGATTTCGAATATAAATATATGTAAGCAATATTAATTTTTAAGTAGTCTTGGGTTCGTTTTCTAGTCTCATATTTTGGTCTGGATCCAATATTATAGTACGTGTTTATGTCTTTGTGAACTTGCTTTTGGCGATACAAAGGAAAAGTGGTAATAGCCTTGATATTAGACCAATATAATACTAGTTGTTAGGACCAAGTTGGTAGGGGTTAAAGCAAGCTCACGACAAGAGAAGAGACAACTAACACATAAGTAAAGTTTCATTCTAAAATAGAAGAGGCTAATTAACTGGTTAAGTCACCTTCTTATCACTCTTTCGATATGAGACAATCGCTCTTGACACGCACAATTAATTTAAAATTAGTGTAATAACACTTCTAATGAGTCTTAAAACCATCTCAGCTCAGAGTCGGGATAATAGTTTGAGAGCTTGTATCATAGTTCGTGAATCAAATTTTTTGTTGGTTGGCTAGCCTAGCTAGCAGCATTTATGGGTCGTAGACAATCTAATAACTTCAGCAATGTGCCAATGACCACTTGACTAAGTGTAACAATAATAATACAATCTTTGCACACTCGCTTATTGTTCTTCTTGCTTCTGGAGTGGCCACTATCTTACAATAATAATCTTCACATACTCAATTATTGTCCTTATTGCTAATTGCTAGCCAGCAGTACGTACTGATCGATTAATTGAATGCACCCTTTCAATTATCAGTCCAAATTTAATAGCTTGTTATTCTCTACCATGGCCCCACTTGCGACATGTGAATATTGAATCACGTTGTTAGGAAGGTTGCAAAGACACTTCATATTGATAGCAGATAACATTTTGTATCATTCCCGTACTAACTATGGCAAAAATTTAATACAGGGTGAGGTTGCCCGCATTGATCCGCCATGCAATTTTACCCTATTTACCCCCTAAATTATACAGTATCCATTATGCCCCTTGATATATATACATAAATTGTCACAATAACTCATAACTACTTAGTGTTCATAATTTTTTTTTATTAATTAATAATAATAACTCGTACTCTTCAGTCACAATTACACATTTTTAAAAATAATCAAAAAGGAAGATTATATGCAAATCATCACTTAAAGTTAAATTATTATAATAATCTCTGACTATCAATCCATTACGTTACATATACATGTTACAAAAAAATCAGTCAAACTCAAGTCCATTAACTTCTTACATTGATACATATATAGAAGTATGTTAAAAAAATCAACCAAACTCCATTAACTTCATGTGAGGTTTTGAATGCTTAAAATGAATAAGAAAAGAAGATTAATGGAGTTTGAACGTTTGGTTGATTTTTGTAACATATATATGTAACAATGTAACATACAATGCTCTTTTGATTTATGTAAGACCTTAGCAAATATGAGCTATATAGTTGATTGTAAAGATTAAACTTTAAAAAATAAAAAGTATTAGGAAAAAAAAATGAAAAACACAAGTGTTTGGAGGTGATTAATTATCTCGTTTACTTTGTATGTTTTTTTGAGAGGACCACAACTAAGTCTTGCAAACCCCACTCAAGAAGTATAACCTTGTGATGCAAGAAAATTTTGTAGTACAAAGGAGAAGGATGGGTTAGTAATGCCAGAACCACCATCAATCATGAAATTAACACCGCTCACAAACTTAGACTCGTCGCTTGCCAAATACAACGCGGCATTAGCAACATCCTCAACATCCGGCGTCACACCTTTAAGCACCGTAGCTTCACACAACAACTCATCGACCGTCTTCTTATCCACCCCTAACGCATCGACTAATATCGGTGTAGCAACACCACCCGGGGAAATAGCATTCACCCTTATGCCATGTTGCCCTAATTCCACACACAAGTTTTTCATCAAACCTATAATCGCGTGCTTAGACATTGTGTAGGCATGGGGTGATTGGCCTCCTATCACTGATGCCAAGCTCGCGGTGAAGAGAATAACACCGGATTTCCTAGGAATCATAACCCTAGCAGCATGCTTAGCCCCTAAGAAACCTCCATACACATTAACATCAAACACTTTTTTAAAATTTTCATTAGTTGTGCCTAATATAGTAGAGTCTAAATCTCCTGAAATGCCTGCATTATTGAACATGATGTCGAGTTTTCCATACTTGGAGATAGTGAGATCGATTAGGTTTTTCATATCGGTTTCATCAGAGATGTTACAATGCACGTAGGAGATAATATCTCCTACGTGACCATTGTTATTAATGTCATAGTGCCCATTGGCCATGGTACTAGAAGCCATTATTTCGTTACATAAGGCTACGCCTTTTTCGTCTTGCACGTCGGCGATTATGACTTTGGCACCTTGTTGGAAAAAGAGTCTAGCTGTGGCCTCTCCGAAGCCGCCTGCTCCTCCGGTTATGATGGCTACCTTCCCTTTCAACCTGCATAATTATTGACAAGTTACATATACATAAATATTTTTATTTTATGTTTTTTATTAAAAAAAAAAGTAATACATTAATTTCAAATCATTATATATTAACATATTTCTAGTTTAGGATAATTTCAATTTTTCCAAATAAAGGAGTATATAGTAGGTGAAAAATTAAACAATATTATGGTACGGTCTGAATAATAAGTACTAATCACGTGATTTTACAAATTGAATTTATTTCTTAGATATTTGATAATTGATTCAACAATTAAATTCTACTCCCTCTGTTCCATGATATAGTGTATTGATCTCTTGCTATACCCATTTCAATTTTTTAAGATGTAACATTTGATCATTGATATCTTTTGATAGCAAAAATATAAAAAAATTGATTACACATTGAAAGAATATAATCTAACATATATAATATATAATATGATGATGTTTCTGTGTATATTAATGAAATTTTTTTGTCAAACCTTTAAACATTATTTGACCATGAAAAAAAAGTGAGCAATATATTATATGGGACGAAAGACATACGAAGAGTAATGCATTATTCAACTAATGTTGTCAAAATTTTTCACTTGTCATCTTACACTAAACATCTACTACTTCATATATTATTGTTACATCACAGCAACTAAATTTTATAACATGATAACGTTAACAAAAGACTTGTTCAAATGTCAATATCACATCATAACTCAATGCAAATTGCAATCAATAAATTTGTCAAACTTTGTGAACTCTAATGACCAAAACCATTTGTCATCCAATCTATGTGATCTTGAATATGTGATAATTAACTCCTTGTTTGAAAGTTCCTAATGTAAAATAGGTTATAGTATAATGATCTTACCAAGATTTTAAAGGAAAAATAATGATTTTAAGGATTTGAATGCCTACAATCTAATCCATTTCAAGTAAAATTGGTTATTAAATGGTTTTGGACCGAGCAAAAACAAAAATCTACTCTAAGACCGTCTAATAATTGTCTTCAATTAGTTAAGTCTAGTATCCATTTTCGGTGCAAATCGACTAGCTTTTGAACACTCCTAGCTAACAACCTAACAATAAGCTAAGGCTTCCTCTTATTTCATTCAAACAAGTGATACATACAAAAAAATATGTGTTAAAAGAAGGGATCACGTGACATGTAAAATATCATTTTAAAATAAAAAAATTATGAGAAGCTTAAAAAATAACAATTATGTGCTAGAGAAGAGAAATGATGAAACTCACCTCTTGGCAATAGGAGCTATTGATGACTTTCCATTCATTTTTCTGAAACCTTTTTTTTTCCTTAAAGAATTTTAATTTCAAATTCTTAAACCTATATTTTTATATGGAAAAAGAAGCACTAAAGAAAGCTATATATATCACTCAAATCTCTATGCTTAAATAGCATTCATACATAATATAAGGGGGTAGCTGAGAATATATAATTAATAAAATTTCTTTCTTCTATGAAAAATTAAATGTTATATGCACAATTACACGTCCATTTCCACATGCTAATTAGTTCGTGTATAGGTGCAATAAGGTGCACCTAATTAACATCAAGAGTAATGACCTCCTCTCACTCTCATGTGATCCAGATGTGGACTTGTGGCCCTAATCAGAAGGTCTGGTCCATGTGATAATTAAGGCTATTGCAAATTGAACACCATTTTCTCAAATAATTAAAGCTTTCATTGGTTGGTCTACTTCTTTGGTTTTAGTTGATTTTATAGTAGCTCAAATGGTTAGAACTTTCCTTTCAATTTCAGGATATGTTGGGATCGATTCTCATTTCTGTCCTTGTGGCCTCTTTAAACACCAAAAAAATATTGTCTCAAACACGTATGGCTATATATAATAATTAATACATATGTTACTACGTTATATTGAATTTTAGTCTCCATCGATTATGTATGACAATTCTACCCTTATTTATAAAACTTTTCATGTATGCCAATTTTTCATGGAAACAATAATACACGGAAAACTTTTTGGTATTGAATTTTATTAAGGATGTTCTTGTGATCGATGATGTATGACAATTTTTCATAGATAATTCTTAGATGTGGTTGAAATGACTAGCAATGCTGTCGGTTGGTGGCCGGTTAAATAAAAGATGTTCTCTTGGAAGAGGAAAGAGGTAATAGAATTCAAGATAGTCTCCCTCACGACAACAGAATTTTTTTTTTTTTTTTTAAACAAATCAATTCATTAATAAAAAGTCATCCGGCATCTACAAATGAAATCTAAATTAACAAATACATAAAATTGAATCTATTAACTATTACTAAAATAGAAAATTGTTGACATCATCCTCTCCTCAAACTGTATATATATGTGTCGCTCTCTCATAAAAAAAACTTCCCGCCTAATGCACTTATAATGTCATGTATATTTTTGGTTCTTTTTTTTAGGAATTGGTTATTTTAATCATTTTTATTTCAATCTTTTGACTGTGTCAATAAATAAATAAATAATTTGTTTTGGTTCGAATAAATAAAATAAATTGATATTGAGCTAAAACATTTTAGGTAACTACGATGTTTGTTTTAATTTTTTTTTTTAGGTTTTACTGTAATTTGTGGGGGAGGGGGGGAGGGGGGCAACCTAGCTATGAAGACATGTACTAATAATATGGATGTTTGTTATACAAAAATGAACTAATTTATAAGTATGCATATAGTTTTATTAGATCGTATAGGCTTTCATTTTTATATTTTGTTACTTAGTAATTTATGATGAAAGATATGTTTTTACGATTTCTTATAAGGATGCATGGAGAAATAAATAATAGAAACAGGTTAGATAACAAATTAAAAGCAAGTAAAAGGATTTTTAAAAAATTTAACCGAGATAAAAAAAAATGCAAGCAAAAGCTATAGCCTTGTTTATTATCTAGTAGTTTGGCATAATACTGAAAAAATACTTCGTATTTGATAAAATATACGATAAATATTCTAGATATTGTTCCAACAAGTCTTAATCACATTTCGTATAATATATTAGATGGTTGGAGTCTATTTTAGATCACCTTGGTCACTTGGGTTTGATTTGGAATCGATGGCAAAAGTATTGTATTGAACGGACTCACGTGAGTCCAGTCATACAAAAAAAATTGAGGAAAAAAAAAAATCTTAATTGTCAGAAATTAGATAATAATAGTAAAATAATATTAGATTATAAGTGTCAGAAATTAGATTTTAATGGTTAGATATTAGATTATACTTATCAGGTATTAGATTATTCACATCAGGTATTAGATTATATACATCAAAAATTAGGTTATATACATCAGGTATAAGATTATATACAGTTAGAGTAGTCTTCATTATAGATGTTTTGTGAATGACGTGAAAATTAGTCCCACATTGGTAGAATAGAAGTTGGTTGAATTGTATAGGTTAGTTTATATAGCTTAATGTTGGGATGGAAGTCCCACATTGATAGAATAGAAGAAGTTGGCTTGTTCAATTCTAGTTAACTTGTTATTGCGAAGAAAGTCCCACATTGAATTGGTTGAATAGAGGATGATAGCTTACTCTTTTCTATTTAACTTGAGTTGGAAAGAAACTCCCACATTGGTTAAATAGAAAAGTATAGCTTGGAGCTAGTCTATAAGTTACTCTATTCTATTTAACTTGATGTTGGGAATAAAACTCCCACATTGGTTAAATAGAAAATTTTAGCTTGGAGCTAATCTATGAGTTTAATATTTAGAGCAAAACAAAATTTTAACAAGAGTCATGGTTGTGACCACGGGCCCGGTCGGGTGTGAGCACAAACTTAGGAAAATAATATTTGCTCGCTTGATAGGGCTAAGTTAGTCCGATTGGGTGCGAGCGCAAACTTATTTTCCTACGTATAGATGGCCCTATCAGGCATGCATTATTGCCTGGTTAGACGCGAGCCTAGTTAAAAGATTTGTCCGTTTATTTTCCCGACCGAACGAGTGTCAGCAGTTACTATCTACAGTTAAATTGATTATGATAATAATGACTTTTCATTAAAATTCATATCATCTTAATAAATTATATTTAGGAAATAGTGACTCTTGGATTAAAAAGTTGTTTATTATATAAAGACAAATAGTAAATTGCTCCAAAATTATAACTTACCTTTACTTTATCTTCTTCTTCCATATCTATTCTTATTGTTCTTAAAGTGTTCTTAGAGAGTTCAATTACATTGCTTTAATTTATCTTGAACTTAGGGAAATCCTGGAAGCATATTGACCAATAACCCATTGCAATCACAGTGGGGGTTAAAATTGCTTTAACACTTCTAGAAAACAGTTCATTTTCGACGAAAAAGTTTCGTCGAAAACACCTTGAAATTCGTCAGAAAAGGAGTTTCCGACGGAATTCCATCGAAAAAGGTTGTCGGAAGCACCTTGGTAGAAAACCACCTTTTCCGACGGAAACACTATTCCGACGGAATTTTCCGTCGTGAGACAATTTCCGGCACCAGCGAATTCCGTCGGAAATAATTCAGCCAGAAATTTCCAACGGGAATTCCGTCGGAAACTATTTTTGGGAAATTAAAAAAAATACGTCATGCGACCACCAGCACGGCGTATCACCACCTCTAACCACCCATAAAGCCCCTTTAACCCCAACCAAACCCACATCACCACCACCACCAACCACATCAGACCACCACCACCGCCACCCACTGCCACATCAGATCACCACTAAACCTTAACCAACTGCCACTACAGACCACCACCACCGCCACCCACTGCCACCACCACTCAAACCCTAACCCAAACCGAACCAAACCTTAACCCAGACCTGACCAAACCCTAACCAACCCTAACCCAGACCCAACTTAAAACAGCCCATTTCCCTAACCCAAACCCGACTGAACCCACCCTTAAACTGACTCAGACCCACCCAGACCACGACCCTAAAATTGACCACCCTTAAACTGACCCAGACCGCGGCCATATCTTAACCCACGAGTCCACCGCCACCACCCACGAGTCCACCATCATCGCAATTCAACCAAAATCACCATAAAAAAATCGCAAAAACCAAAAAATAAATAAGAAAAAAATAACATACCTTGAAATTCACCAACAAAACTCTGAAGTTGGCGTGTTTTTGGGTTTTAAACGTCAAATTTGACCAAGAAACTCTAGATCTAGAGTTTTCATGGTCAAATTTGACATGAAAAACCTTAATTTAAACAAAAAAATTAAAACCCCATTTGAGTTCAATGTTCATGCGTGAGTATAGGGGAAAAGGATGAGAAAAAAACTGAAAAAAGAAAGGGGAAAAAGGATGAGAAGAAAAAACTGAAAAAGTAAGGGGAAAAGGTGATAAGGGGCGAAGAAGAAGAGGCAGGATGAGAGGAAGAGAGGAGAGGAGAGGAGAGGAGAGTGAGTGAGAAGAGAGGCGGAGTGAGAAGAGAGGAGAGAGAAAGAGAAATTAGAATATAAAGAGGGAGGGGGGCGCCGTTTTTAATTAGGGTTTGGTGGTTTTTTTTTAAAAAAAAATAATAATAAATTCTGTCGGAAACATATAATATTCCTTCGGAAGCTTTAATTTCCAATCGAATATTCCGTCGGAAATTTCCTACGGAATAAAATCCGTCGAAAAAACACTTAATTTACGACGGAAATTCCAAATTCGTCGCAAATTTCCTACGGAAAATAAATCCGTCGGAAATTAAGTGTTTTTCGACGGATTTTCATGTCCGTCGGTACCCTTCCATCAGAATTAGACCTTTTTCTTGTAGTGTAAGGACAGTGTAAACACGTCCCTAATTCTTCATCCCCATAATTATTTCCTAAGATATACATCAGAATATAAGTTATATATATCAGATTATATACAACAATGAGAAAGTACAGTGTTTACCAGAAGAAGCAGCAAAGGCATTAGACGACGTCGTATCAGTAGTAATATGAAGAAACTACGCACAAACAATGTCGCTTCATGCAGTATCAGCTTTACTCCCTCCCTCTATCTCTCTCCTCATAATATCTCTCACATGTTGTCGGAGCTCCATATATTCTCCCTGTCTTCAATTCCGAGCACTCCAGCTTTGTGTTGGTGTCTCACTCTATCGTCTCCCTTCTTCCATGAGTATCCGATGATTGTTTTTTATTTGATTAGTTGCAGAGGGAGGTGGTCGGTTAGAACGGGGGCTAAAGGTTCCGCCATTGTTGTGGGTTTTGATGAGGTTGAGTTTTGATGATGTGATGTGATACTGGACTCACGTGAAACCGGCTCTCACAAAACCTTCTCAGAATCGATATATTCAAGTCTAGAAATTAAAACGTTGAAATTGAATTCCTTAGAGTGAGGGAAAAGTCAAGTGGTTGAGCTCTGATCCCTCCCGATTCCAAGAGATATTGGGATTGATTCTCATCAGATCACCTGTCCTTATAGCTCTTTAATATATATATATAATT